AACTGCTACCAACTAAAATGAAAAAAATAATAACAATACTTCCTCTTGCCATCAGCTTAACCACGCCCTAAACCACACCCACACTGTCTACATACCTGGATATTTGTGTCCCTTTCTATTTGAGTTCCACCTCGCAGTAGCAATGCAGGCCACTCCCAGTATAATGAGTATCAGACCAACGAAACACAATAAGAATATAAACCAGGTCTTCCTATGAATGGGGTCATCACTATCACTAGTGCCTCCAACTAATATAATAAAAATGATAATTATAATACAAGTGTAATGGATATAAATAAATAAAATTATATCAAAGCATATAATGACAATTAGCATTTATGGTATTTTTAATTTTTAATTATTATTATTTGTTATGATAATCCCTTACTGTTAGAGTCAGTGGTAGCATTAATAGTTGAGGAGAATGGGCCCATTCCAGCAGTGTTATGTGCGGCAATCCTTATCCAGTAAGTATTGCCACCTGCTAGTCTACTCAATACGTGTGTGGTGGCATTGGAGCCGATAGTTTGGTTGATGATTGAAGAGGATTGGGGTGGGGACGCACCAGTAGATGATACCCAATAGGAGACAGTATAATCAGTAATGACACCGTATCTAGCAGTAACGGCAGGAGGCTGAGAAAGAGAGAGAGAGAGAGAATGGTTAGCTGTCGTAACCACAGTAATAACTTACCTCCCAGAAGAGAGTGATATCAGTTTTTGATCGTGATACAGCTCTTAATCTTTGAGGAGGCAACCCAGGAACTACAAGTGGTAAGAAAAATAATTGATAATCATTTTTATAAATACATGTATAAAGTTAGTACTAAATATTTGTTTTATAACATGCTGATTGTGTATGAGTAAAAGCCAATAAATTATTTTATGTTTTGATTAATAAGGCTGTTGATGTTTATGTCAATGTATGCGAGACTGCCATTAATTAGCAATTGAACTATAAAGGAAAATTATGACTTGCAATCATGACATAATAATAAACACATCCTTTCTACTTTTGCTCCCTCTCCCTCTCCCTCTCTATCTCTCCCTCTCTCTCTCTCTCTCTCTCTCTCTCTCTCTCTCTCTCTCTCTCTCTCTCTCACCTGCTTGAGCAGTCCTAACTGGGCCATAAGGATCACTAGCTACTTCTCTGCCATCAGTTAAAATTGCCACAACTCTAACAGAATAATACGAATAAGGCTCTAACTCCACAATATAAGCACGAGTGGTACTGGTGGCTGATATAGCAGTGTTAGGCTTACTGGGGTACCATGCATCACTGGTTGAATTCTAAAAGAAAAGAGAAATTTTATTAAAAGAGAGATAATTATTATTAAAGAGATAGCATATAAAATACTATATTGTACTGTACCTGTATTTCTATTCTATATGATTCTACATTATAATCATAGCCATCGTAAATCCACTTCACCTCCAATACTGTTGGGTAGGATGAGCTAACATTAGTCACTGATGGCTTGACAGGAAAATCTGGAAAAATAAAGCAAAATTACATGTACATGTACATGTACATGCAAACAAAATTTCCTGTACTACAGTACAAAGTCTTTGGCCCAATTTTTAAGCAACTCAAATCCCTTTCTCTCTCTTACTTGTGACTATTATAGAAGTCCTTTCAGAGTATACAACTGGAGCAGTGAGAAAGGGAGTGTTGATGTAAGAAGTGAGAGCTTGGCATTGGTAATGTCCCAAGTCATTGCTGCCAGCTGCCATTACCCTCAAGCTGAGCTCAGACTATTAGCAATACAAAACAAGGTTTGAATCACAGTATCAAATCAAGATCAAATCAACATACTTGATCTGCTGATCGCATCAATCGAGTGTGAGTATTGTTGGGAATGATAGTACCATTCAGTGTCCAGTGTAAGGCAATGTTAGTCTTGCTGGTATCATGAGATACACTGCAGTTCAATACAAATGATTCACCCTTGTATATAATGATACTGGGCTTGTGTACTGAAGTAATGACGGTAGGTTCTAAGAGAGAAATAGAGAGAGGGAGAAAGAAGGGAAGTTACAAGATTATTCATGTACATTATACAAATTGAACTAACATTACAGTCCATATAATTGACAAAGCATTTCAACACATAAACATACAGTACCCATTCCTCTATCTCAGTAACACATGTAGTGCATAATCAGTAAAACTCTCTTACCTGCTACATACACTTGTGCAGTGCTGCTCACCATACCAACGACAGTCTGAGGATCAATCATTGATTTAGCAATACAAGTATAATTCCCTTGGAGTGCACTGTTGAGAGACTTAAACACCAGGACACCAGGAGAAGAGAGCGAAAAGTCAGAATTACTTTCACTAATACTCGTCTCCTCTTTCTTCCACTCGTAGAATGGTGCTGGAGCACCAGTTGCGTTACAACGGAGCGTTAGGTTCTCTCTTGCAAAACCAAGCGTGTTTGATAGTCGGCCATTATTAGTGAAGGATGGAGGCACAGCTAAAGGGGAAGAGAGAGAGAGAGAGAGAGGAGAGAAAGTGAGAGAGAGAGAGAGAGAGGGGGGGAGAGTTTCATACCTTAAATTGAGGATAGAGGATATTAACTGCTTAGGGTGTAAATGAGATAAAATGTCGTTTGGGGAATATAAATAATACACAATGCATTGAACTGTACATGTTTACAGTAATATTGAAGGGGAGATATAGCTGTGTACCTTTAAATTATTATTAAATAGTATAAAAAGATAATTCAATCATCACTTAAATTGACACCCACTCAATGCAGTATATGACAAACAATAACAACAACAACATTAAGATAATTACCATAAACAAATCGTTGTATTAGTAATGTACATGTACATGTAAGAATAAGATATCTGCTTTTATCAAGGGACTCAGACATTACAGTGTATATCACTGGCATATTTAATTCTTTATAAACTATTGTTTATGTATTTAAATACCAGCTGAAGTGTTTTATAAATAACACCAGGTGCATCTTTCTGTGTGTCAATAATAATCACTTACTTTTTACAGTAACTAGTGTACTTTTACTGTCCACTCCTGCTTCATTAGTAGCAAAGCATTGATAGGCTCCAGAGTCCTCTAGCCCTGTTGTGCTTACTACTAGTGTGGAGGAGTCAGAGATCTTAATGCCATTGTGATACCAGACCCAGCTAATGTCACTACCAGTAGCAGTGCATGATAAAGTAAGGGAGCTACCATAAGTGATGTCGACAGATGAAGGTGGATGAACAGTAATAGATGGAGCATCTAAAAATATAAATGATAATAATATCACTATTATTACTATTAGTATTTACGTTTGATCGTAAGGGTTCCTGTGTAGGTCCCAGGGGTTCCTGTAATATCACACGAATAGGACCCCTCATCAGAGGAATCAGCACTATTTATTGATTGGATCCCTTTTGATATCACAGCACCATCAGGACCAGTCATATTAACAACTGATAGACTGAGAGGAGAAAGAGAGAGGGAGAGAGAAAGAGGGAGGGAGGCAGACATAAAATAACATAATAAATAGTGTTTATTATACCTTCCAGAGGCTATACAGTTCATGCTGGTCCTATCTCCTTTGGCCACAGTTACATCAGTAGGTACAGCTAGTGGAGTAGGAGCTAGTTCTGCAATACTACCAACAACATTAATAGTAGTAGCATGATACTGATAACTCTGAGTAATACTATTTGTTAACCGACACTCGTATTTCAGTGGTGTAATAACTTTCCTTAAATAAAGGTCGCCATTGCCTCCAACTATAGCGCTGTTTTCAGAATTAACAGAACCAACAAAAAGAACATACATTGGATAGTTAGCTAAATCGTAAACATGCCATAAAGGGCTTAGCTCATGAAGAGGGTATCCAGTATAACTTGGAAGGCAAGGCAGTATTGTATAATTATTCCTAGTAACATTTTTCTGGACTGTTTGGCCATTCTGACTCGAGGTAACATAAGCCAGTGATACTAACACACTGTGACTGATGAGTGTCCAATTCCCATTGGTAACATTGCAACTGTAGTTACCATTATGTACACTCTCAAACCCACTGATTAAGAGAGAGTTATTGGGTAGTATGGAGATTTTGGACGTGGGTAAGACAATGTTCCCGTTGCGCAACCATTGGTAGGAGACATTGCTAGTGGTATTAGCGGTACAGTCCAGTCTTATGTTACTGGATGAATGGAGAGCTGTATCGTCTGATGGTCTGATGGTAATGTTTGGTAGAGATTGAGAAGAAACTAAAAGAGAGAGAGAGAGAGAAGTTAGAGTGTGTGAGAGAAATATGGAAGGGAAAATAAAACTAGAAGTGGGAGTGTACTTGCATATGCACACAAACAAACATACTATCACAACAATTGACAATGGTAGGGTATTTCTCCATAAAACAGAAAATAAAAAAATAGCAGGCCTCAACAAAGACTTTGTTAAAAATTAGAATCGATGAAGCATACGGCAATTAATGTAATGGTAGTAATAACAATGTGTGTGTTAGCGATAAACTGGCTTCAATGGGTCAATAGCACTATAACAAACATAAGAATAATTAGGAAAAAAACAAGTTTAGAAACTAGCAGGGACTACAATGCTACAATACAAGAAGACAGAAAGAGAGAGAGAGGAAGACAGAGAGAGAGAGAGAGGAAGACAGAGAGAGAGAGGGGGGAGAGAAAGAGAGAGAGAGAGTGTGTGTGTGTGGTGTGGTGTGTCTGAGTAGCCTAGAATAATTAACTTCAAATACAAGAGGCATGTGTACACATTATGTGATTGAGTGACTTATAAATTGCAGCAAATTTTTAATTAATTTCATAGCAGATTAGCTAGACAATTTGGAACGAGAAAGTCTCACCAAAAGACTAACATTAACTAAAGAAGAGGAGGTAGTGTTATTAACACTACCCCCTCTTCTATGTGGCAGTTCATTTAAAATGAACTGTCACATCTCAGCTCAAAAGACTATAGTCTGGAAATTCAGAGCCTGTGTGTTGTTTTGCTCAGCAAACTTTGCATTATATGTAACAAGAAACAAGATACCACACAATAATAATAGTACAGGCTACAAGGTCTTAAAAGACACAGTTGTCACGTACCTTGATGATAGCTAGCAATAAGAAAAGTGATAAAAGGTAGGGAAAGTGAGAAGAGATTGACTGGTTTCATTTTTATTATGGGATCTATGAGCTGTACAGAAGACTGCTTTAAAGTGACTGCAAAAAGTAGAGATTATTATCATACACATTAATGCACGAGGAAATGCTCATAAATCTTACCTGGCAGAGCTGCTTCTTGAGCGGCCTTGCTTTATCGCTGCAAAATATAACTGGGAAAGCTTTTGAAGGGCTGGGAGACGCCTTTCTTCTCTCGTGACAGAAAAAACAGTATCAGCAGCAGGAGCAGGAGACTTAGGCAAGAGGTGAATAAACTTACGAGGTGAGAGTATTCACGGCCTGCGGTCTCAACAGACAAACAATGAGGTGGTTGGAGGTAAGGAGAGAATGCAAGGAGCCTCACTGGAGCCTAGCCAAGAGGAATGAGTGAGAAAATACTAAGAAATACTCCAGCAACTACCGTTTGCAGTAGTAGAACATCCACCAGTACCACCACGGGGTGCCAGTGAGCGCTACTTATATTGGTTGCTAGGCTATGCATAATGGTGGGCGCGGCGTAGCCTCACCTTAATTAATTATAATCAGGGCAGCGCTCATTATGTTAATTTATGCAAAAATAATTATTTTCATGCCAACCTCCCAAATAACTTAGCTGAAAAACCTTTACAAAAAAGACTTATCACTCCGGGTCAGTTCAAGACCCAAAACCAAACAATATCATGAGCTATTATTCACAGAAAAGAGAGAGAGAGGGAGAGGGAGGGAGAGAGAGAGATCAGAAATAATTATTATTGTTAGTTGTATGACGAGGCGTATGATTCTGAGGAGGAAGGAGGATAGGGGGTCGTGCCAAAAAACCCCCTCCACCCGTGGGGGGAGGAGGAGGGTGTGTCATAATAATCTGGTGGGGATGAGAAGAAATCGGAGGAGGGAAAAACGGAGGAGGAGGGAGAGAGGGAGGGGGAGGAGGAGGAGGGTAGCAGAGGATCTCTTGAGGTGAAGAATGAAGTAGTGATTGAGACACTGGAAAAAAAATAAAAGAGATTTTGATAACTTTTTGGTATTACAATAACAGTTATTACAAAGCAAGTGTTGGGGAGAGAAAAGAGAGAGGAAAGGGATGGTAATACCAAGAATGGGTCTCATTCTCCTCCCTTTCACATATTGATAAGAATTACATGTACGAATACATTTATACCAGCCACTTTATAAATAAAACTGGCATACATGTACATGTACATGTGGCAGTCAGAGTACGGATAAAATGAAACGTTATCATAATCTATAATCATGCTAAAGATCAAATTCTCCTCTGAGAAGATTATCAGTAACAACTACATGTAGTTCTGTGGTGAGTCTCACTCAGGTACATGTTCTGAAATTACTACTATATATCTGCTAATACACACTGTACATGCATTGAAATGGCATAAATTCTCATGAACAAGTAGGACATTATTGATGACAAGAGACATGCATTCATGATTGTTGATATTAAAACACTTCAAACAGTAATTAATGAGGAATAGAGTGCTCATAAGTAAAATATGAGTGCAACAACATGTACATGTACAAAACATGCACCCACACAAAAACATGCCATAGACAAAACCAGCTCAAAAATTAAAAACTTTATGCTTTAGACAATCTCAAAAGTATTACATGTACAATGTACAGTGTAACCTCTATAATAAGGACACTTTTGTAATGTCCCAATTGATGCAAAAGTGCCTCTGAAATGAGGACACTTCTATAACTATTGAGGACAGGTAGTGTTGGCCCAATGGTGTCCTTAATAAAGAGGCTACACAGTATATTAGCCTTAATAATAAGCATAAACACTCAGTACATGTACACATGTGTATATATACGTACTTCTTCTGGGGTCTTGTCCAACGTCAAGTGAATGATGGTGGGGGCCAGTAGGTCCTGCAGGAGACACACTACCGGAAATTGGTGGGCGAGGGCTCCGGACAAACTGCTGAAGAGAAGAAGGGGGAGGGAGAGGAGGGAGGGGAGGGAGAGGGTGATGAGAGGGAGGGTAAGGGGAGCCTCCTAAAGGAGAAAGAATGGATGAAGAGGAAGAGACAGTGGGAGAGAGAATAGAAATATTGGAGACACTAGCCATTCTAGATGAGCCCATATCTATAAAAAGAAGCAGTGACATTAAATGGCAGGTATACAAAAACATACTGTCATCTTTATTTGTTGGTTCTGGCTCATCAGGTGAACTGACAGGTTCAAAATGAGACGAATCAGAGAGAGGAGGGAGGAAAGGAGGAGGAGGAGGAGTAGTAGCTATACGAGAGATAGCTGGTGGTGGCTGAGGAGAGCCTAATAAAAAAGAAATTAATAAGAAATGCTCATTATTAAATTACAATAATAATGATAATGATTATAATCTACATAATGGATTTAGTCAATAAAATAATAATAATAACAATGCAAATTATATTTTAAATAATAAAGAAATGAGAGATTCGAAGAGAAAAGGAATCTACATGAACATGAATACAGTACTATATTTACCTATGGTTGATGATCCTTGTCTCTGTGCTGTGGGGCCACTCAGAAAACTACTGCTAAATGACAATAAAGATCTTCCACAAGGAGAACTGACAGATCCCACACTAATGGAGGAGTGAGAAGAGCTAGCCATGCTAGTAAAAGATGACAAAGGACTCGGTTTCTCGTAAGAAACCCTTTTAGTCTGTTCAGCAGGCTTCTTGCTCCGATTACGATACTCTAAAAGTGACATTTTACGCTTTGAGGGGGCAGGAGGTTTTAAAAGACTCTCGCTGGGCCTTTCCTCCCCCCTCTCCTCTTTCTCGATCGCTTGTTCTTCAAGAACAGTCTCTCTCTCCTCAGGCTGCACCTGCACCTGCTGCTTAGCAAATTCAATATCCATAGAGTCCTCAGTTGGTGGGGGTGGTACTTCTTCTTCTAAGGGCGGGGTCAAGGATATATCCATTTCTTCTTCCCTTTTGTCTCCCGGGGGTGTTGTCACGGTAATGTCTTGTGTGGTAGGGGAGGTAGGGAGGGTGTTTGATTGATCGGCAGGAGGAGTAGGAGGAGGGGAGGGAGAAGGAATAGGAGTGAGAGATGGGCTCCTTTCCTCTTTTTTATCATCAAACAATTCTTCAGTCTCTTCTTTAACTCGAGTCTCTTTTGGACAATCGCTAGCGTAAGATTCCTCGGCAAGATTACGCAATGACTTAACCACGCCCCCTCCGTTTGAGGCCCCTCCCTCCTCGTCAAAACCATCGTCATCTGATAAATCCTCAAAAAGCGGAGAAGAGGGAACACCCTCATCCTCTTCCTTCCCAGGTACAGGAGGAGAATGAGCCATTGGATCCTGTTGTACAGGTTTTAATTCAGACGCTAAAGTTTCATGTTTTCCATCAGTGATAAGAGAACCTCCCGTTACATGTACATGTACATGTAGCCCGCTAGTGTCCGTCGGAGTGGGGAGAGAGGATACGGTTGCTACCGGCTCCTGTGGAGAGGACGGGCGGAGATTATAACTCGCTGACTCCTCCCACTTGTGAAGAAACTTCTTTTTGTGATGAACTACAAGAACATTATTGACGAAAATACATACATGTAAATGTCACATAATCATTAATCAAATACAACATGTAATAATTAATAATAATAATGTACATTTATGAATGTCATAAGTACATGCTATTCTATATTAATTATTGGTTTTTGTTCTTTGGGGGTGGAGTCAGATCTCATGCCTAGCTAAGAGGCAATATAGTACTTTAAAGCTTTATACTGTAAAGATAATAGTAATAATAATAATAAATAATAATAATAATAATTAAAAATTAATGATAACAATAATAATGGTGGTGCTTACTAAAAGAAGAAGGAGTTGTTTGATAACTGTCTTCCATTTCTTGATACTGTTTCATCCATCTCTATTAGTGGGTGTGGTTTAATGTAGCAATAATGATGATGATGAATACTTACGTGTTTGAGACAGCCTCTTAGTCTCGGCCTGTTAGTATCTTCAAGTGATTTAAGAGAAGAGAGAGAGAAGCCGTTTGTGATTGTATTGTCTAAGTGATCCATTTCCCACTGATGGAGAATAGCCTAGAGAAAGAGAGAGAGAGAGGGGGGAGGGGGAGAGGGATAAAGAGAAAGAAAAGGGAAAAAGAAAAAAATTGAGGGGAGTATCATTACGTAGAGTAAATGACACAAGCATAATAGAAATAAAAACAGGTTTCCCTAAATTATTATTCATCTTTCAATAACTATTGGAAGGACACAAAGGACACTGAATCTATTACACACACATATTGCCAGATTCAATATATCAGGGAAATTGGGAAAGAGTGAAGATTTTGAAAATAAGTACATACATGTAAATGTACACACATCGATACAACAATGATTCAATGAATAATAAAGAACTAAGCACAAGAATACAGAGAAAAAGAGAGAGAGAGAGAGAGAGAAGAGAGGAGAGGAGAGGAGAGGAGAGGAGAGAGAGAGAGAGAGAGAGAGAGAGAGAGAGAGAGAGAGAGAGAGAGAGAGAGAGAGAGAGAGAGAGAGAGAGAGAGAGAGAGAGTACCTTTTTTCTAGGAAGTGCAAAACCAGCCAGTAAATACTTTGGGTGTAAATATGGCGTCACTTCAAAACTAAGTTTAGAGAGGGAGCCCCAAGGGGGCGAGGAAACAGGGTTAGAAGATGGAGTGAGGTCCTGGAGAGACGTGGTAGAGAGAGAGGGAGTGAGAGGAGGAGAATGAAAAGCATCCATTGGCTCTGGGGACTGAAGATCAACACTTGATATACTGGAGAGACGACTGAAGGAGAGAGAGAGAGAGGGGGAGGGGGGGAAGAGAGAGAGGGGGGAAGAGAGCATGTATATATACAAATAAGAAAGAGTCTTACGGTTTATTATTACTGCTAGGCAACAAATTGACTTTCCTCCCACTGCTGGAAAGCCTGTAACAAGAATTAATAATAATAATAATAATAATAATAATAATAATAATAATGTATAAGTTACTCTAGATAGTTTTGTGTTGTATGCACCATACATTGGGCATTTACATGTATTTACAACCACTGTATATGTACATGTATGTAATGTACATGTACATGTACATTTAATAGTAAAAACACGTACATGTATATACATGTACATGTCTATACATGTACATGTAGCTCGAGGCTACTATGTATCCCATAGATAGTAGAGGAAAGGGAGTGAGACAGACTGACAGACTGTGAGGGTCGGCCATGTTACATGTACTTAAAATTAATAATTAATTGGAAAGTGATAGCAACAACTTGTCAAGATATGCAAAACTCCATCGAGTCACTAATTGATCATAAAATAATAATTACACGTAGCAATGAAGTCACATGGTAAATACAAATGAGCAATACTGGAAGGCCACACATGGAAACATGGAGGAGAGATGGGGAATCTGGTATAGCATAAAAATTATTATGTTAAAAGTGTTGTTTTAAAAATAATAAGGATGGATTGTCCTTATTATTATTGACCTTTCTCTTCCTCTTGGTGTCCCAATGAAAGGTGTTGGAATCTCCTCGTTGTCATGGCTACTCGTTTCGGAAGGAAGGTGCTGTTGCTTCTTTCGTCTTGTTGCTTCCATTTTCTCAAACATTTTCCAAACGGCCTCAGTCTTCCTCTCCTCCCGCGACTAGAGAAAGAGAGAGAGAGAGAGAGAGAGAGAGAGAGAGAGATAAGAGACATGAATGACGCAAATTTATGACAATAAATTTTTGATAAATATTATAAGGTTTCTACAATAGTTAATTTTGCTCAGCACATTTTTTAAAATGCTCATAACTCATAAAATATTTGTCAGAATCAGCTCAAACTTTCTACACAGCATAAGGACATCAATATGTATCAGAAAATGTAATAAAAATTTGGGGTAATTTCGGAGCCATTTTTTGGAAAAAACCATGGGCTATAGTCTTGGGTAATTTTCAAAATTTTGGCATTTTCTTAAAATGGTCGTAACTTGAAAAATTGAAGTCGGAATCAGCTCAAACTTTCTACACAGCATAAGGACATCAATATGTATCAGAAAATGTAATAAAAATTTGGGGTAATTTTGGAGCCATTTTTTGGAAAAAACCATGGACAATAGCCTTGGGTAATTTTCAAAATTTTGGCATTTTCTTAAAATGGCCGTAACTTGAAAAATAGTTGGAATTAGCTCAAACTTTCTACACAGCATAAGGACATCAATATGTACATTGTATCAGAAAATGTAATAAAAATTTGGGGTGATTTCGGAGCTATTTTTTGGAAAATACCATGGGCTATCATTATGCATACCATTCAAAAACAGTACAATGCTATCAGACCTACATGTACATGTAAATGAATGATCTTATAAATAGCAAAAAAACAAAACAAAACGTAATGTTTAAAATTACTTTTCTTCTCTTTGGTGTGTCGGTTTCCAAATTATCTTCAGAGTCACTGTCAGTAACCTACATGTACATGTATTTAAAAAGAAAACACACATAAAAACATGCCCTAAACTCGTCTCCCCCTCCTTCTCTCCCTCACTTCACGACTGGTTTGCTGTGAATGCTGTCTCCCTCTCTTCCCGGCCCAGCTGCTGTTACTGTCCTCATCAGTTAATTGGACGGCGGAGTGACCACGCCCCTTCAACGACTTCCTAAAACAATTCATTAAAGTATAATGTAAAAAAATAAAAAATAAAGCAAAATAAAGAGAGGGAGAAGAAAAAGATCATGATTGTACCTGGTCACCACAGCTCCTTCAATTTCCATGTCTTCCTCTTTATTATTATTATTAACCTTATGAGATCCTTTACCTCCTCCGATCCCCCTCCCTCCCCTGGGGGAGTTCAATAATCCACACTCTGTCTTATGATCGCAAGCACACGATAGATTGTAGTCGCTAGAGGAGGTGTGGCTAAATGGGCGTGGCTTGTATTATGTAGTTGCTCACCATTTATCGTAGAAGTCAAAAGGAAGAGTAACTTCATCTTCGGGGGAAAGGTGAGTCAGAGCGTAAACTCCAAAATGGACTTCGTTATTGACAAAGAAATGTCTCAACTATGACAAACAAGAAGCAACAAAAAAAACAAATAAAATTTTAAAAATTAGCACATATACATGTAAGTACGCCATTAATTAAATCTTGAACTACATGTACAATTTATAAATTATTTTTTCTTTTTATTTTAATTTAGCATCATTTTGATTTCCAGAAATTAAAAGTGGGCTCATTATAAAATACATCAACTCACTTCAGCATTAGGACAACAGGATCTTCTGATAAACCTCGCCATGTTGCCGCTATGCCTGTACAAAACATATCGTTACTAATGGCAACAAGCCACACCCACTCACCTTGCATCAATGCAGATGTGAATGTCGGACATTCTATCATATTGATAAACAAATGGACAAGGCCTGAGAAAAAATACATATTATATAATAATTTTATAAATAATAATTTCTACTTGTTTTTCCATAGTAATTTGATAGAGTTGATGCCAATATCATGGAGCAAAGCTCTTCTGGTAGTAATGGAACCCTAAATATATTAAAATAATAATAATAATAATAATGATAATAAATTGGATGTGGGGTAATTAATAATGTAACAAATAACCTTATATAAATCCTAAAATTAAAGATGCTCCTAATACATAAAATGCTAAAACTATTATAGCAAACAAACAATTAAATTTACCATACAATTAAAAACACATATGTACATAAGCATGTACCTTATATTCGATAATCATTTCATCTTCGGGAACGTTAGTATCAACAACCACACCCACTCTAGAGGGACACACCTCCCTCGTGTGACATATAGGTAACATTGGTAGCATCCTCTGGAACTCTTCTTTGGTATACACAACAGCCTCTTGCTTCAACTGCTGGAGACATGCTGAGAGAAAGTTCTTTAAAGAATCGCTATAAGTGTTTGATGTTATTTTAGTATAAGGATCGCTCCATGGGGCCGTCTTAGAGGACCATAACGAGGGGGAGGGGCTTGTTGCCACAGGAGACAGTTGTTCAAGAGCTGATGCAGCTGTGAGCAATGTTTGAACACCGGATAACATTGAGGGGGGCGGAGACCGAGGAGATTGGGTGCTGGCCACACCTACTGACACTCCCCCTGTATTCTTGCGATGATGCTTAGACTAATGGAGGGAGAGAGAGAGGGAGATGTCATTTAGGACAAAAAATAAGAAAAAATAATTCCATACTTTTAATCTCTTGCTCCCTCTCTTCCCCTCCTCTTTCTCAAGTCCCTTTTCCTTTTTCCCACGTCTTGCCTCAGCCTTGAGTTCCTGTACTCTGAGCATACCGGCCGTCTTTGGCTGCTTCTTCTTCCTCTTAGAGGAGGAGGAGGAAGAGGAGGGAGTGGGAGAAGAAGCAGCTGATCTTTGTCCCTCGTCCGTTGAAGCACTGGCAGAATCATCATCATCAAAATCTAGTGAAGAGAGAGAAAGGAAAAGATGTCAATGCATATAAGTGTATACATTGTACATATACATACATACACAAGTCAAGTTTAATTTTATGTGCTGATTTTTATTAAGTTTTATTAAAAGCTAATGATGTTATTAATGTAAATGTACTACATTAATTTGAGGATTTAAAGATCCTTTACTAAATTTGATAAAACTAGCAAAAAAAAACTAAAACTAGAAAGGGAAGGGAATGGTTATAGGCACAGACCTGTCCCTGTCATTTCTTCTCTCTTCTTCATTTGTATCATTTTTGCTCTTTTCTTGTCCGTCGGGCGTGGCTCGCACTGCTCGCATAGATATTTATCAGGAAGATTATTGGGATCGACCTACATGTGTAATAGAAGAGAGAGAGAGAGAGGGGGGAGAGGAGGAATTAGAGGTTGTACACAGGCTCCACGGATCATTAATTATAATAGCAACAAAAATGGCTGCAATAACGGTGTAGATGCTCAAGATGAAATGAAGCATATAAAATTTAAGTGGACATTCACTGCAATGTCAACAGTGACAAAGGATTCATCGACACTCCATCTCTACTAGGGCTAAGAGTTATGGCAATATAAAATATACCAATTTTAAAAAAACTATGGGATAGATTTTTCCAGAAATTAGCTCCCAAATCACACCCAATTTTTATTAAAATAATTTTCTGATAAACATTGATGTCCTTTTATGAAATTTTTTAAAATTTTCGTTAAAAAATTCCAAGCTGATTCTTGCTACAAATAATACCAGAAAAATATGCCAAATTCAGTAAAAATTACACAAATACATTTACCCGCTCTCCCCTCTAATTGTTAGTTAATAACCAAAAGACGTACGTAACAGTTTCAAAAATACACTAATAATAATAATAATAATAATAATAATAATAAATTGACAAATGTAATACACATAAACTGAGCTACACACACACATACATGAAGTGATGCAAATAATTTAAAATATTTATGTGTACATGTACATCAAACGTACTGTACATGTACACAAAGCTCAATAAAAAGAGAAGTTTTTCTTTAGATTTACATAGAATATGTACACCTCCTTCTCTCTTTACTAACCTCCATACACTCAACATGTTGCCAGACCAAGCATTCATCACAGCAGATCATGTATCCGTCGTCATGGGTGAAAGAGCATATGCAGCGTGTTGTATAGTCGCCATAATCCTCCTCTGCATGTGACAGCCTTCCTTTCATCACTAGAGAAAGAGAGGGGGAGGAATGAAAAGAAGTGAGAGAGAAAACATCTCGTAGTCTTGTCTTAGAAGAAGGCACACTTACCTTTCCAGTCTCTCTTTCTCTTCTCTCTCCCACTCTTTGAAGCCTAACGTCCCATTTGTAAGACTCTTACAGTCAAAGATAAGTAGGGCAAGCACTAGTATAGTCTCTGAAATAAGAGGAAAGACACTAGTCGATAAAGAAAGAGGAAAAGATGGCCCAGGAGCCTTCGCCGTCCTCCAACTTGTTTTCAATATTACACCTCGTGTTAATGACGTTCAGGTACCATCCTTAATTAGAATATTACGGTATCTCTTGCGCATGCGCAGTTGGTATAGTCTGCAAAACACCAGCTCCACCCTCTTTGTTGAATTCACTTTAGCTGCAGTAATAAAGTGAGGTGTGTTGTGCAAGCTTTATTGAGCAGGCTCGGTCTTTCTTCTTCTATTTCTCTATGCTCAGATGAACTGCTAGCCCTGACGTCTATTGCAGACTCTGCTAGATCAGTATACTGGAATAAAGCAAGGATACAAACTTGTACTGTCCAACAACACCTCTCCTGGACTTCAAATGAATATGCAAATGAGAGGCGGTTGTTTTTGTTTGTTTATCTCGGTTGCCCTGGTGCTACTTGAGCTGAGCTCTGCACAGGGGAATCATGAATGGAGCGGGTTTGTGAATACATTGCAATCATCATTTGACTATCAGTGCCCTGGAGGGCTGGCTGTTACAGGCCTTGCAAGCATTTTTGAGTAAGTAAAGTCTGCAATTAAAAAAAAAGTTAACAAGGGATGCATGTAAATATAATACAGCATTAAATTAATCTTGTCCTTTACATAAATGATATATTTATCGTTCGAATCAAACTTACACAGTTATTCAAGCAACATTGCAATTTTTGCTGGCAAACTTTATTTTTTAAAATTAGATTTATAAATATGTATTTATGATATAAAATGCTTAATTTCTCTCATTTTTTATCATAGTGATCCTGTTAATGATAGGAGGTGGGAATTTTCCTGTGGAACTGGAGGAAATGTTGCCAATGTTTCTTCGCAATGCATACTCCAGGTACATACTAAGATATATAATGTTTATTGCAATTTTATTTATTTCTTAAAATAGAGTCCAATTCATGTGATAAGAAATGACATAAACTATGAATGTCCAGGCAATAGTTACATGTCAGGCTTTAGTGCAGCTTATTCTTTATCAGATGAGGACCGCTTATGGAGCCCGTACTGTTGCAGCAGGAACTATTCGACATTAATAAACTGTCACACTCTCACTTCGAACTGGGAAAATCTCCTAGAAGGTGATCTAAACTGGACGACGACAAGCGATAGAGTCGTGACTGGAATGACGAGCTTCTTCTCAGCATTTAATAGGCAAGTGCATGGATCTGTAGTGAATATAATGATTTTAAAATTAATTTAGGGATCGAAGGTGGAGATTCAAGCAGTGCAAAATACAAGGTAAATACATAATGTCATGAATATCATTTCGTGGTTTTTTGCACATCAAACCCACGAGTGCCTAACAGTAAAGTTTGCACAGTAGATAAAGGAGCTGCTGTCATGTTGTCATTGCTTGGCGTGTAATGTGCGATGATGATCACTAATTCTCCTCTCACCACTTGTCATAACCAGTGCCAGTAACTTGGCGGAACCTACTGGATCTATGCAAGTGGCAAATGATGAGAAACTGTTGTCACCCAACAGTCTGAGCATATACAGTGTTACATTTTACATTATAGAACAAAAAAGTGCTTAGTGTACATTTTTTACATTATAAATAAGTTACAGTTATAAATTTGTACTTTTTTAGTCAGTTGTGGTGATCCAGGCATCCCAGAGAATGCTGTGAGAGAAGGAGACAGCTTCCTTTACACAGATACTGTGAGATTTACATGCAACAATGGATATTACCTTTACAGTGGGGACAATGAGAGAACCTGTCAAGATACAGGACTGTGGAGTGGGATACAGCCAACTTGTACATGTATGTATACTAAATTATAATATTGTATAGTTCAACATTGAATTACTGCTATCATGCATGCTCTGCATGGCTAATGTAACCCTATTTTTTCTATAGTGTGTACTAATATTGAGAATTGTGCTGATATAAGGTGTACTACTGATTCTGATCAATATTGCTTTGAGTGTGAGTCAAATTACGGAGCTGCCCTGGGAGAGAGTGCTTATAGGAATCTCAACACATCTTGTGAAGGTATAAACTAAATTCTCATTATTATAATAAATATGCTCACTACTTTTCTTTCACTTTTAATGCACAGCATACTGCTCCTGGTTGGGAGGTTTCTGCTATCCAGGGGACTGTCCAGTTGGCCCTACCTCGTGTAATTGTTCCGCAGGTTTCTCGGGCCCTGATTGCCTAAACAGTAAGAACCTTGCAAGTTTCTTTTATATTATGCATATTCTTTTAGTTGATGCAAGGCCTGAGTTGGAGAGTTGCTCATTTTCCGTGTCATCTCTCTCATCACCAGTAGCCTGTTCTATCAATCATACCAATGTGTCATACATTAATACCAATCCAACCAGTCTCACTGGCAACTGGGAAGCTTTATATAATGGTCCCTCTCCTCCTCCACTGAGACCAGCTTACGTTGATGGGTATGCTGTTGGAATCAGTCAAACAATGATAATAGTATCAGTATATAGACATGACTCTTGTAAGCTAAACAAGTATATATGCATTAGAAGGCATAGAATTTCCATTCTTTGCAATATTATTCATGATTTATACTGTAGCCGAATGATATGGTTGTTGTTCTATTTGTCTTAGATCCTACTGATGCAGCAAGTATGACAGAGCATGAGTGTATTACTGCTGACGTGTCTCAGGACGCTCCTTTATCTTCACTGGTCTCATGCACTGGATCAGCCACTGCTACACAATTACTAAATCACACATTTCTGCATGGTGACTGGTAAGAATTTGGTTTTAATTGAGCTATTTGAGAAAAGCATTGACTATTGCAACTAATGGGTTTTTTTTCAAAAAATAGGCTCCAAAATTATCTCCAATTTTTATTATTTTTAAATGCCAAAAAGTTTAAAATTTTTGATGCATATTTTAATAATTGACCACGCCCACTGACACGTGCTACCATGCTTTTAAAATGGCTGCCTCTTCTTAATTATATTTTCCTCTTATTTCTTCCTCTAGGATTAAACTCGAGGCTTTTATCAGTAATGGAGGCTACCTCAATATCACTAACCTTGATACTAACGACACAGTGACCCATTATTATGCCGGATCACCAATATCCCCTTACTCCCTCCTGCTCCTTGACACTCGGCCTCCCGTCCACTGTTCCGTTGTACCCTCCCGTACTTGTCTAACGGACCAAGGCTCACCACTAAGGGAGAGCCTTATTCACGATGACCTCTCGGTCCTTTGGGGCGGGTGGGGGGACGATCCGGCCGGGGTTCAAAAATACGAAATTGAGATTTACAAGTTAGTTTATGATTCTGGAACCGAACTATTGGATAAAGCAGCCTCTTCGTCGTTTACTGAAGATATCGTACATGATGGCAGCAGTAACAGTTATAGGAGAGAGTACTCACTCCCTGATCAAGGTCCTTACTCTATTGTCCTCATTATTACTGATAATTCAGGCAATGATCAATACACGAGGCGTATCATTGTCTATGATGCCGACAGTGAACTACTTGAAGATAGTTCTTTCCCTCTTATAGCCGTTGGAGGTTTTCCAGAGACGAGAGGACCTGCTGGTAGCGGCTATTGGCACAACTCGACAACAGTACCCATCACTGTGAGTGGAGTCGGACACTTTTATAATACGAATCTCAAGACATCGAATTGGTTGGCTCCGGTTGCTAACCACACTCCCCCTATCCCTTCAATTTATGACGACACTGATACTGCCGGGGTACCTAACGCACTGGGCATCACGTCTCTAGCCTATACCTACTTTACTGACGAGGTGGGAGGAGCATCTCCTGGAGCGATAGCTCAACCTGCTACCTTCCTTAATCCAACTGACGATCTGTCTCTAAGTGCCGTTGAAATCAGTGTCCCTGATTTAGAAGATGGGGTATCGGTGAGCATTTGGTTTGAGGCAAGGGATTTTAAAGAGAATCCGCCAGCACACGAAAAGGTTCTCGTCCACGTTGACTCCAGCCCCCCTGTACTAGGGGGTCTGGGATTAATGAGAGAGGGGGTTGACGAGTTGTTGGTACTCTACGGATCTCAGGCCCTGGAAGATCTTGTAATTCTATTTAATGCCCGTGACGATCACAGTGGATTGTACGAGATAGAATGGAGTATTGTCAGTAATGGAGTAACGATAGCGAGAGGAGACATTCCTATTACTAATTATGAACGGGTAAGTAATACAATGGACATTGTGTACATGTACATGTATACATGTAATTGTATTTACATGTAATCTTCTATTTTTAATACTTTATCTTCCTCCTCTTTCTCTGTAGGAGACGTGTTTAGTTGATTCAGATTGTGTATGTGATTCCGTTGGTCATTGTCACAAAGTCTCCTACTCCTTCTCTCCTCCCTCCTCCTCCTTCCTCTCCTCTCCACTAGCAAAACACGACACGGACTACCTCATCATCGTCACGGCAACAAACCACGCCCAGCTCTCAACGACGCTGACTCAACAGTTTACAGTTGATCTGACCCCGCCCCTAACCGGCTCCATATTCGAGACGACGGCTAACCGTAACCTCCTTGATATTGACTATACATCATCAATGACTTTCAGTATAAACTGGAGTGGATTCTTTGACAGAGAGACAGACATTTTACTATACCAGTACATAGTCTCCTCGGGCTGCTCTCCTCAGAACTCATTCCAATACCCTGGTACCGGAATGAGTCTTTTGAATACCAATAGCACCAGCGTCATATGGACTGCCTCTACCCCTGGGGTGTATCATACAACAGTAGTTGCCTATAATAAAGCTTACTTACCATCAAGCCCTGTTTGTTCTGATGGCATTATTATCGATCAGGCCCGGCCTCGGTTTGAGGGCGTGGTTATTCCAGGAGGCGTGGTTAGAGAGGGGTTGGTTCGGTTGGATAGTGGGGAGGTGTGGTTTATTGACGCTGATAGAGAGAGGTCATTGGTGGATGGATACGATACCACCTGTATTAATAACAGTGCATTAATTAATAGTGAGCAATTGGACACGATACCCATCAAGTATAACAAGTAAGCATAGCAATAATTAATATTATTTATTTTTATTTATTTTACATGTATGTTAATTGTTTTTGTTATTTTTATTGTCCTCATTTTTTATTATTATTATATTAATTATTATTATTATTATTATTGTTTTTTTTTTATGAGGTACCAGTATTAATGTAATAATGATTAATTTTTCCTTTTAGGTCATTGCCATTCTTAGTGCCTCCTTCTCTTTGCTCTCTCTCCGTTCCATTCCAGGATATCATTTACACTCCGTTGGATACTGCTCTTAATATATCATGGGTCGTCACTGACGAAAACGGTATCTATGACTACCAGATAGGTGTGGCCAGCAACCAATCTGGCCTGCCCGATATCCTTCCTACAGTAAGTACTGGAAGACACGCCCACTTTACTGTACAGGGAGAAACTTTTATGAGTGGAGTTAGTTTTTACGTTGCTCTTGAAGCAGTTGATTTATCGGGTCACACGAGCTCTGTCCTGGTTGGTCCTGTTATAATTGATACCTCTCCTCCGATTATTAATGATAGTATCAGTCTAGCCCCGCCCACCTTTGATAATGAGTTCTATTTGATTTATTGGGAGGAGGATAGCTTCTATGACAAGGAGGACTTGTTTACATTGGATAGATACGAATATGCTATTGGTAAGGGAAATGCACACATGTACATGTACCTCTCTCTCTCTCTCTCTCTCTCTCTCACTCACTCTCTCTCTCTCTCTCTCTCTCTCTCTCTGTATTTCTATAATATTCTAATTTAATAATGTTATTATTATTATGTACGTGTAGGTCGGTTTCCTTATGGTACTGATGTCCTTCCCTTTTCTTCCCTCCCTCCTCCCTCTCCCTCCTGTCCCCTCACTCCTTACTGCATTACCATACCTCTTCACTCCCTCCTCCCCGGCAACCAGTACCACGTCACTCTCAAGGTCTCGAATACTGGTAACCTAGCAACCTACGTACCAGTAGACCCCTTCATCGTCCCGTGGCCCCTTCAAGACTGTCTCTCTGTATACGAACATGTAGACTCTGCCCCCTTCTACTCCCTCCCTCAGTCTATTGATATTGATCTTATATTTACTGATGATCCTCCTCTTACTGTTTCTTGGAGAGGGCTAGAGGACTCTCATTTAGATGCTCGGTTTTTTGTGGCTTTAGGAACGCGGCCAGGTCTAACTGACGTGGCTGGACTCAAACCTGTACCTCTCGGCCGTAACAGCTACACTTTTAACGGGCTTTTATTAGAAACAGGATCTAGTTATTACTCTTTATTAGTAGCTAATAACTCGATTAGCAGTGTCAACCAAACATCTGATGGTTTCTTGTATCTTCCACTGACTACTGATAATCAGTTGGCTTTTATATGGGACGGCTGGTCAGACCTGTATGACGAGGACTACCAGTTGTCCAGTACCGCCGTAACCTGTCACTGGTTTTATCCCGACGCCATTACTAGCCACTTGTCTCATTATGAGTGGGCATTATTTAGAGTATTGGGGCATGACAGTTCGAATGTGTCGCTGGTTAGTGATTACATTAATACAGGTCCTAATGAATATGGAATGAGATTGAGTGAATTGGAACATGGTGTGATGTACCTCACGGCTGTCAGAGCTTGTTTTAAGAGTGGTTGCTTAGAGCCAAGGTTTTCCGATGGGTTTTATGTGGCCACACCTCCAGTCACGCCCACAACGGCTCCGCTAATAGCTGAGTATGGTAATGGTGTCCTTAATGTAAATTGGAGTGGTTTTGCTGATCCGGAATTAGCTTATTATGAGTGGAGTATAGAGGGAGAGAGAGAGGAAGAGAAAGGATTAGTAAGAGACTGGGAGCGTGTTGCAGCTAATGTCACGCATATTAGTCTCTCGTTTCCATTGGAAACAAGCCCCTCCCACCAATGGACCTACTCAGTGATTCTCAGAGCTTTTAACAGAGCTGGCCTGAGCTCAAGTGCTCGATCGTTAATTGCTATAATTGAAGGGGCTTCCCCAACAGGATACATTGTGTATGACATAAACACTAATATTCTCATACCTACGGCTGAGGACTGGATGAGTCAAGATTTCAGTGTCACCACTTATTACGATATTGACCACACCCCCTCAGGCCATACCCTAGCTGCCGTTTGGCCCCAGCTACGCTTTAAATCCTATCAGTACTCAATTTCTGAAACTCGTTCCTTCATTCCTTGCCAGGAGCCTTACCCAACTGCTTGTAACGAGACGATTAATAATGGAGCCGTTGTGTCTGGTCTCGATCTAAGTCATGGACGTGTTTATTATTTTTGTGTTCGTGGTTTGGCAGAAGACGCTTACAGCCCCTCCCCCTCTGGCCCTCGTACAGCCACTGTCTGTAGTGATGGTGTCGTTATTGATCTGACTCCGCCCACTGGTGGGTGTGTACAAATTGTTCCGGTTCATTCTATTGAGGAACTCCCTGAGCTGAAGAGTGAGGAAAGAGTGCCGGTATCTTCTGGAAGCGGCCAGGAGGAGGGTAGACCAGGAGTCAGTGGTATCTATAGTTCCTGGGCTCATTCCTGTTCCGATCAGTATGGGTCTCAGTCTTCTACTTCTGAGCTGAGACTGGTCTGGGACTGGTTCCAAGATATAGAGCAGTATAGGAATGAGCCTTTTGTTTATGGGGTTTCGGATTATGAATATTCTATTGGTAAGGAATTTATATTATAATAATGATATTATTATTATTATTATTATTATTATTATTATTTTAGGCACTAGTCCTGGTCATCAAGATATTGTTAGATACACGTCAGTGGGTGTGGCTAGAAGTGTCATAGTGTCTGGTCTATCATTAACTCCTGGATTAACTTACTATGCAAGCATCAGAGGTACAATGTACTAATAGCAATGAATAGCGAATGTGATACATATACATTTTTTCATGTTGTCTTAAAAGTTTAAGCTGATTCCAATCAAAATTGGATTTAAAAAAAATTTTTAAAGTTGCTCAAAAATCAGGTCAAAGTCTCAGGCCAAATTTTGGCAAAAATGACAAGGAGAGAATTCTTCATTTTTATAACTTTATCTGATGCATATACATGTACTTATGTTGTGTAGCAAGTTTGAGTTGATTCCGATCAAAATTGGATTTTTAACGAATTTTTTAAGTTACTCAAAAATCGGGTCAAAGTCCCTGTACTATAGTACAGGGTCTCGGGCCAAATTTTGGCAAAAATGACAAGGAGAGAATTCTTCATTTTTATAACTTTATCTGATGCATATACATGTACTTATGTTGTGTAGAAAGTTTGAGTTGATTCCGATCAAAATTAGATTTTTTACGAATTTTTTAAGTTACTCAAAAACTGAGCCAAAGTCCCTGTACTATAGTACAGGGACTTTGGCCAAATTTTGCCAAAAATGAAAAGGAGAGAATTATCAATTTTTATAGCATTTTCTAATACATATACATGTTCTAATGTGGTGTTAAAAGTTTGAGCTGATTCCGATCAAATTCTGAATTTTTACGAACTTTTAAAGTTTGCCTTCTTCATTAATTTAACTCTCCCTTCCTCTACAGCCACTGATCAAGTTGGTCGTAAAACAATCATTACTTCACAAGGACTAACTATTGATTCAACCCCGCCCTCTTTTGGGCGCGTCTGGCTGACACCAGATACAATACCCTTGAACACAACACAAGGTCTCCGCCCAAACTGGGACCTCATAATAGACCCTGAGAGTAACGTTGGGGCCATACAATGGTCACTTGGATCTGCTTCTGGTCACAGTGATATCATACCATGGACTAGTACTAACAGTACTGTGTCACTGTCATCTCTTATTAATGTCTCACTTGGGGATGGACAGCCTCTTGTACTTAATGTATTGGTAAGTATATATATTCATGTTTGTGTGCATTAGTTTATTGTTTGATGGCATATCATTTCTCATTCATTTAAAAATTCTATTCCTCTTATTATTATAGTAAATTGCAACTTGATTAATTATTTTTATTAATTTATTAGTATTATTATTATTGTTGTTATTATTATCATTATTTTTTTGTCATTATTATTATTATTGTTATTACTAGGCTATAAATAATGCTGGACTGTCACTCATCCGCTCATCAAGTTTGATTTATTATGATTCCACTCCTCCTTGCCCCTCTCGTGTGTTTGATGGACTAAGACCCACAGACTCAGGATTCCTTGACTTAGACTATACTTATAACCACACCCACTTATCGGCTCACTGGAACTCATTCTCAGACCCTCATACCAGCATGAGTTGGTATGAATGGAGCATTGGTACTTGTCAAGGATGCGGTGATGTTATTCCATTTGGTAATGTTGGTTTAGTAACAGGTAGGGGTCACTTATCAGTGCTTTATCTCTCTTTCTCTCTCTTCCTTGTTTCACTCTCTTCCTTCTTTCTCTCTCTTCCTTTCCCTTTTATCAAATTATCTACATCTTAACTGATTGGCTTGTATCAACATCATTGCACTCATAGTAATAACATTCCTTATACAGTTATACACATTATTTAATATCAACATGTATGATGTATGTATGTGTATCCTTTTCTGTAGAGTCTACTGTTAGATATTCATACCGTCAAGGTGGTTTATATTATATCAGTGTCCGTGGATGTAGTTTTTATTCTGGCTGCACTACTGCTCATTCTGATGGTGTCCTTGTTGATGTGATTCCTCCCATTACTCCAGTGTTGCATCACGGATTGCCTGGTTCTTCCCTTCAGATCCAGCCGTCAAGGTAAAATTGAAATACCATCCCTAATTAGCAACTAATTACATGTAATTGATTAATGTAGTTGCAGTCGCATTATCATAATGTTTTGATTTGAATTGAAATCTTTGCATAACTTCCCCCTATATAGAACCACTTTTAAAATGTGAAAATGTATAAATGTTGTTTACCAGTATCCGTTTCCTATTCTCTAGACATACATTAATTGTCAATTGGAACACTGCTACTGGCTACCAGTCAAAACTCTCCCACTGTTCCTATTCCGTTGGTACTTCACCTGATGATTCCACTTATCTCCTACCCACGGAAGCACCAGCTTCAATCAACTCTCTGATAATCACGTCTCCGTTCCTCTCGTCTCATTTATTACCAGTCAATAGGACGGTATATGTAACACTGGTCATTACCAGTAGATCCGGTTTGACCAGTACCTCTCACTCTCCTGGAGTCTTTATAAGTAATGTACCGCCCACGCTGATTAGCACGCCGGTTATTAATGTGGAGTGGGCGGGGTCGTTAGTAGGCGGGTCTCAATACACTAGCTCTGTATTGAGATTTGATTGGAATTTTACTGATACTTATACGTCAATCACTCAGTATTTCTTTACACTCTACTCTCACGAAGGCACGTATCAGCTCATTAATGAGAGCCACACCTATAATATTCAATATGCAACGATAGCTAATTTGAATTTAAAAGATGGAGACAGGCTGAGGGGTCTGGTCAGAGCGTGCAACCAGGCTGGGCTCTGTCAGACTGGTTTTACAAACCGGTTTGTACTGGTTGACTCATCCCCTCCTATTGATGGTTATTTTGCCGTGGGGACGTCCTCTTCTGCTCCTCTCCCTTGGTCTATTGAGGACGGGATGAGTTGGATTAATCATGACCACTACTCATTCTTAAACCTAACTTTTACTGGGTTTTCAGACCGCCACTCGGGGGTTTCCGAATATTGGGCGACCGTCGGTTCCGGCTACGGCATGAGTGATCTCTTTAGGCCTTCATCACCTCTAACAGTACGAGAACATCCAATGGAGAACCTAGTGTACATGTCAACACTTCAATTGTCCCGAGCACTGAGTCTAAGCGAGGAACTGCACGTGTGGATATGGGCTGTGAATGAGGTTGGTAGACAAAGTCACGTAGTTACGGGTACTTTTAAAGTGGGCGGGGACAGTAACGAAGTCGGTAACTTAGAATTATTACGTTCTCAGTCTTGCCCGGTGGTCAGTTGCGAGGGTCATTGCACTTGTAGTGAAAGAGGACATCATTGTGATAGGCCAGTTAATGCAACCTGCCGTGAAATGGATTCTTCTTCTTTGCCTCCTGATATGAATGTGATCTCTCTCACTCTCTCTTCTCAACTAGCGGCCAATGTCCCTCCACTCTTTACCACTGTCACTGATGTATTATCAGGCCATATACGACCAGTGACCAGCTCACCGTCGTACCAGTGGGTTGAATGGAGCATCGGTGAGGCTTCTCAAGGGGCCGGGTCTGGACTTATTGACTCTTCGTCGGAACCAATTTGGTTTCCACTCCCCCTGGGGTCTGGTAGGCCAATATTTGACGTGAGCCCTCGCTACCCACTGATTCAAGGAAATACATACTCATTCAGAGCAAGGGTCTGGTACAATGATACTCATTACTCAATATTCAGCTCCGAGGGGGCCCTTGTGGACAGCACTAATCCGATAGTATTCAATGGCTACCGTGTTGGTGAGTATAACCAATACTCAAGCATTGAAATAGATTACACTCAAGTTACGAGCAGCCTTCTTGTAAAATGGATGAATGTTTTTAGCAGACGGTATTCAGGTAGTCATACCTTGTTTTATGTGGGTCTGGGTGATTCTCTATTATCTGATAATGTCCACAGACTTACTCTAGTTGGTAATGTCACTTCCTATAACATTACTAGCCTGAGGCTTAGAGATAATAGGAAATATTATGTCATAGTTCAAGGGATTACTCCAAGTGGTGTATATGCATTATCTGGTTCTGATGGTGTTAGTGTTGATACTTCTCCTCCGTTGTCAGGTAGCGTCTTTATTGTTAATAAAGGAGCACCTTATCATAGCACGTTGGCTATTTCTAACAGAACAGCCGTATCTTTGAGGCTACTCGGTTTTCACGATCCTCAGTCATTTATAAGAGGATTTGAAGTTGGTATAGCTAAACCGGATGAGCTCATTACAAGCTATGTTAGTATAGGCCTCAACCTCTCTCCTACTCTAACTGGCCTTGATCTGGAGGATGGTAGTACCTATAGAGTTTCTGTAAAGGCTATCAGTGGAGCTGGGGCAGCGTCTATAACCTATTCATCACATTTCATAGTTGACTCTACTCCTCCTGGTAGTTTCAATGCCTCATATGTACCCATAGTAACTGAATCCTTTGAAACATTAGGAGAAGAACCTAACCTGAATATCACTGATAGTCTACTTAGACTAGGTTGGGAATTAGATCCTGGTAGTGCTACGTTCATTTCTTCTTCTACTGATTTACATTCTGCTGCACTTCCTGATGGCACTGCTGCTATTGAACTCAATGGCTGCATATCACGTGATATAACTACTGATCCAACACTCCACTATTACTTGTCATTCTACATACTCGTAACACAAGGAGAGACGGTAACATTTAGTGTTCCATGTAGCTACAATGAAGATGTAATGTGCAGTAAAGCACTAAGCACTCAACCTCTTGATTCTAACAGGAGCAGGAGTAGTGATATCATTAGATATTGGAGTAGAGTCCAATACAGTTATTATCAACTTATGGGTTCTGTCTTTAATTTAAGGATATGTTCCCAAAACAGCCCACTGACTATTGATAACATTATGCTTGAGCATCAGTCACTATCATCCATTAGTGATCAATTAGTTATCAAAGCTCATGACTTGGCCCACTCTTCCTCCTTATCCTCTCTTCTCCTACACGTCTTTGATCCCCAGAGTGGCATGCAAAAGATAACGTATGCCATTGGGACGTTCCCAACTGGCATACAGTTACAAGAACACAGATACATCTCACCACTTGATCCTGTAATATATCCCAACTTATATCTACCTAGCATTGAGGCTAGTATGACGATATATATTACCGTTATTGCCACTAATTTTGCTGGCCTGACCACTCGCTTTCTCTCTCCTCCTATCATCCTTGACCGGTCGCCACCAGTGTCTCTTACTCGTCCGGGGGTTAAGGAGATCCTGGTCACTGGTGGCCCTGATATTGATTATACTCTTTCATCAAGTGTGTGGGTGGATTGGTCTGATGTGGTTGATGGTGAGAGTGGAATTCAGCATTGTCAGTGGGGTCTGGGTAAGTGGTTTAATATTGGCAGGGGTTCTGTTTTGTGTGTGTAATTTTACGCTCGTTGATTTTTGTGTCAAAATAATCCAAAATTGTCTGTTTTATGGTTTGGGTAATATAATAATAATTATATAGTAGATCTATTTTGATTGCAGGGGAATTCATTTATAGTTTTTTGTGTGTGATAATTCAACATATTCTGCATGTGCATGTAATTGTTGAACCCGCAACTTCCACTGATGACTTAACAATCGATTGATCTTCTAGTGATCACATCATCAGCCAATATTGCTTCCTTGTATATTGGATGTGGCCTCGTTGCGTATAATTACGTTTGTAAGTGTTCACTGAGTCATCCAAACAAGGGGCATAAATTTTCTTATTATTTATACTCAAGCATTTGCTATTGGTAGCTTTGATGCATGCAGTAGCATGAGACAGCTGTTATTGGAGGTATAATTGTAGCTTTATTTAGTAACCTACAGTAGCCTGATTGCAGTAAGTATATAATTTTATTGTGATATTAAGTCCTTTACTTTATTATCATCATCATCATCATTATTATTATTAGGTTCTAGTCATGGGCTCAGTGATATTAGTAGTTTTAATGTCACTCATTCCACTTCAGCAGTATCTACCATTCTCTCATTGCCACATGGTACAGGACTCTACTCCATTGTATCCTGTATTAATAATGCTGGGCAGTCCTCAACATTTATATCTGATGGTATAACATTATTGCAAAACCCTCCCTCCCATCAGCTGGCATCACTGATCATATCAAGCCCTGATTCATACCAGTATGAGTCAAGATCTGGTCATATACCCACTGACTCAATGCTATTGATTTGGAGTGGGTTTGGATCCAATTTCCCTTTGAGATATCAAGTTAGGATGATCAGGAGTGATTCTGCCGCTGGTCTGAGCGATGATGAGGGATGGTGTGATGTGGGGCCAGTCCAGCAGCTGTCGTTAAGTGACATGAACATCAGTGCCAATATTGAGTATGACGTTCAAGTAAGAGCATTTGTTGTTGAAGGACTATGGAGCCAGCCTTTGTCTGGTAGTTTTACAATTGTTCCTACTCCTCCAGTCTGGAATAAAGGTACTAACATAAGAGCACCTTTATAATGAGGATAGACTTATTGTAATGTCCCAATTGGTATATACAATCTATACAAAAGCACCTCTAAATTGAGGAGGCCCCATATGTAGTTGTTGGCCCAATAAACAGGCTATACCTTACACCCGTGTGCATGTACATATACTCTAATCTTTCATTGTGTCATTGACTTTTCATTTAATTATTTTACTGCCCCACTCACGCCTCTGCCCTAATTTTTACTATATTACTGTATTTGGTCTTTTTCCTGTTTATCATGCATTCCTATACACTATGATAACTGTCACTCTAGCCCACGCACATATAATCCTACCCACGCAAATATTAGTGCCCTTTATCTTTTATAGGTATACCCCTTAATGCCTCTTGGACCGGTAGCAACAGACTCACTCTAGAATGGAGTAATGTCTTTTCATCTCCTTCTTCCCTTACGTACGAAGTTTCCCTTGGCTTCCAAGTGGGCGATACCTCGTTTCAGAGGTGGGCGTCACCGGTACAGGAAGTCGAGGGGGAAAGAATTGTAATTATCAATAGAAGATTGAGGAGTAGTGGACAGTATGTGCTGGCATTGAATGCTTTGAGCAGCAATGGATTATCCACTACTGCTAATTATGTACTTGATGAATCGATTGCAATACCCATTGACGTATGATAACAATTAAATTTTAATTACATAATAATAGTAATAATAATAATAATAATAATAATAATAATGATAATAATTGTATTAACTAATTTTGCACAAACCATATCTCCCATTGGGAATATCAAAACTTTAATAAAACATTAAAAAAATATAACGATAACAACATCAAAGATCGTGTGTATAGAAAAACTTTTAAAAGGAAGTTTCTGTAATGAGTATGTGGGTAGTAGCAGAGTTGTTGACGTGCCACTGGTTTTGATGCACTTGACAATAAGTTATGTGTGTACTATGTTTTCTATTGGTCCCTAATATGCTCTAATCCTTCCTAACAAAGCGTCCCTTCATTATGTGTCCCTTCATTGTACGTCCCTTCATTGTAGCTGCTATAGCCGGGTAACCTAGAGGAGGTTTTCATAGGACGGTAGCCACTATCGGTCGAGATTATAAAAGACTTAGTACAATGAGAGCAGACAGTCCTAGTATCAGGGTAGCCTCTGCTAGTCCCAGTTTCCGATGGAGGATAATGTAAACTGCACGTATAACCAGAGTCATTGCTAATGCTAGGATTGGCTGGTTTGAATGATATGAAAGCATGATGGGAAGGAAGAGGAGTGTGGGAACAAGGATGGAGGCCATGTACTGGTGGCCTTGTAAAATATGGAGGAGCCAGGTTGTGAGAATGAGCACATGAGCATGTACATGTAGCAGTGCTAGCGCAATGGCTGGGATTGTTTGAGACTGATCCCATGTGGCTTTTGGGGTTGTGCCCTAGACTGCATTGGTCGGATTGGTTTGGGTTGATTGATGAAGGGGCAATTGAAGGAGTACACCGACAAGAGTCACAGCATGAGCTAGAAGCTATTGTTAGTCTATCATTGGCACTGCTCGACACTGAGGGAGTAAGAGATGGCCTACATGAATCCTGAGTCTGGTTTGCTTGAAGTTCTACATCTCCTGTGCTACTACCAGATTCACTTTCATTTTGTTTCTTTCTTTTCATGCAGCAGTGGAGAAAGTAGCACAAAGTCATGACAGCTAACAAGACCATGACAATTATCAAGAGGACAATGATGATTATAGCATACATCAATGGGTTCTGGAAGACTCCGCTTTTATTAGTATCGCTTGTTGGTGAAGGTGTTCCAGTTGAAGTGACCTATGGGAGAAAGAAAGGATATGCACTTTACAGTCTTTACTATAGCACAATTACAAATCATTAGGCTAATGTTTTGTACTTGCTTTCGTCACGTACTTAAATCTAATTAGAGTCAGGATGTGTACAGTATGCTCAATGAGTAAATACAAACAGTGCATGGGCAGTATGTAGCTGAATGACAGTCTATCTTTATCTTATTCAAATCACCTGAGTCACACTCTTAGCAGGGATTCAGTGTTGTAGCAACAATGATTACGAGTTAGAAAACTTGGAATAAAATTTCTCACAGTCACATTAAAACCACATTTCATTTATGGGTATTTATGCATGTAGATCTGTATGCACACAGAGCCCTTTGGTCATCATAAGAGAGAGTCAGTGTGTGTGTTCTTTATTTTTCAATCTATCCAGATTAGGTTAAGACAATTAATTGTGGAATGTACTATCACTACATTAGGGGGAATTTAGATGCAGGCAGCTGCTTTTTTATGAAGTTGTTATCTCTTCGTCTCGTATATACGTGTGTGTGTGTGTGGTGTGTGTGAGGTGGGCGTGTGAGACAATTCATTTAGAGTGAACCCCTACCTCCGGTGCTGAATGTGCTGGTGATGTTGTTGATATATCAATTATCATTGTTGATTCAGTTGTTGAAGGAGACTCAGTTGCTGAAGGAGATGGTGACGGCAAATCTGTAAAAGAAGAGAAAATTTATTCAAGAGCATAAAGTAATGAGGTTATTAGTGTCATGAAATCAGCTACTTAAATCAGCAGTTTACACAATCAATTACACATTCAATTACACATTCCCAACATTCCACTGCATGTACATGTGCAGAAGCAAGAGAGGAAGTCAGTCAAGCTAATGGCTTTCTTTCTTTCTCTCTCTCTCTCTGTAGCCAGCTTTAGCATGGTAGGGTTGTTCCCCTATTTCCCTCCAAATCACACGGGATGTGAGAGTGCAAAAAGTTCAAGGCTATACGATGAACTGGAGTAGGACAGCTACTCCTCTCACCTTTTGAAAACAAGAAAAACCGGTTAGCCACACAATAGTGCCTGTGACACATTCTTTGCTAGCCAAAGCAGGGCTTAAAGACAACTGCTAATAGAGTAATTCATTCACGGACATGTTGGAAGGGGATTTTCTCACTAAAAAGTGAGTACTAGCCTATATTATTATGATTTCTACTTGATCATTTGCATTATTAAAATTGTGGAGTTTTTTTTACTCATTCTGACTCACTACTCATTAATCACACTTCCTTTGCAATGTGTTACTACTATACTCAAAATGAATTTTCATTCAATGGCATCCATGCTATGCTATACATCTATGTACATGTATGTGCAAGCATGGACAATAGAGTAAATGCTTCTTCACATGTCAGTTTTGGACTCACCTGAAATTACAGTTAAATTGAATGATTTGTTATATTCTAAGCCCTCAAATGAAGCAAAGCATGTATAGACACCACTGTCTTGAGGTGACAGGTGAGCTATAACTAACTTGCTATCATTACTTAAGAGTTCACCCTCCTTCTTCCAGCTCTTTGTTACAGTATTAGTGCTGTTTTCATCCGGATGACTTGCATTGCAGGATACACTCAGGCTTTGTCCAGTGGACCGCAATATGACATTATCCCCATCATCAACATCTCCTTGTATTATCACTCGGGGGGGAACTGTGGAAGAAACAAATGAGTATACACTGCAGTGGAGTATATGCATAAGATGCTGTATGCAATGGTTATGCATGTATGCTCCTACCTTTCAAAGAAAACTCATGATTCTGAAATTCAGTATGTAAAATCCCGCAAAAGTAGGTGTATGAATTTGAGAGGGATTCATAATCAGATGAGCTGGCTACAAAGAACACATTATAAGACTCTCCTTCTTTTTCTTTTATAAATTCTCCTTTAAGTTTATCAATGTCTTTTATATATAAAGAACCCGACTTTATTTTAGCAGCAGTGATCGAGCCTATCTTTAAGCCACATGGTATAATAATAGTACCATTATCATGAAATTTTGCACTGAAATGGGACCCTGTAATTTGAGGCTTTACTGCTGCAAAAGTAAAGAAACATATAATGTAATTATAATCACACCTATAGTCTATTTATAACTATATATATACTTATTTTTGTAACTTACTTAGTTCTACTGGGTTAGACTCATTAATGCAAGAGTAACTGCCTTCATCATCAGTTGTGGAATCGAAAGTCAAGGAATAAAGTTCAGAGTTAAGGACATCACGTCCTTCTCGATACTTATCCAGAGTAGTATTGATCTCCTTTCCGTTTTTCCACCACCTCATAGGCCCGGTTGAATTTGAAACAGTGCAGCGTACACGTATTTCGTTCTCATCCTCACTCACTTCTACTCTAACGGAGCTAACAGAAGCAAGCGACGAGAAGGAAAGTATTAGTACAGCTAAGCCTAAGGTAGACAAAGGAGCCATAATTGAGCCTGTACGGTTTGCAATGTACGGTGAATTTATGAGAATTTACCCTGGTTTTTTATACGCACAGCTGTGTGTGAGATATGAGGTAGGGACAGTCCCTAACGAGCCCCTCCTTCCTGCAGCAATCGCTACGTGACCACACCCTTAACCAGCCACGCCCATCGATCCCGCAGCAACTTCAAGGCAGAGAAGAAATAAACAAGGCCATTAAAGCAGATTTCCTGAATAGCCTAAAGTAGCTGGAGGGTATAAAGGAGTCTAAAGGCAGGACAGACTAATAATGGCAGGTTTGTATTGTACCCTATCCCTCATATTAGCATAATAAAGGCGCGAAACACAATTAAAGTGACCCAATTGGGCTCAGTCCTAAATACTAAACACTCGATAAGGGATGAGACAGAGGGGCTCAATCCACTAATCTGATTAATAATTTAAATACACAATGCCATATAAGGGATGTGCATTTGAACACTATAAATCATATTGATATGTTACCATATGTATTAAACTATTGATCGAACATACTGTTATTACATCACTTACATTAAGAGAAACGTGTTAGGTGTGTATAAGTAATGTAATACAGATTCCTGCTCTAACGTATCATCATTGTGGTACATTTTTCATCATAGCATGTACATGTACATGTAATTTTATTATGTCAACCATGACATTTTGCTTAAAGCATTTATTTATTTATTTATTTATTTATATTATTATTATTATTATGTATGTATGTATTTTGTGTATTTAACAAGTAGTATCAGCTCTCAGTAGGGGTCGAATATGCACCTGGTTTTAAATAAATATTATTTCATTATAGTGAGCATTTACTATGTGCTATAAAAATACACTACTTATGTTAATATAAAACACACACTAATGTGTTATCTACTGAGCGTATAATACATGTATGTACATGTACCACATGGTATTTATACTAGTGTAAATTGGTGGTAATAATACTAATGCTTGTTTCCAGCTCCTTGTTGTGGAGGTTATATTGCAACTGTTTTGTATATTATAGTGACTTGTGTAATCGTAAACTGTTAAGTTTTTGTTTGATAATAGTAATACTGCCTGTGTATACGTGTAATGGATCTGTTTATGAGTGTCAGAGTACATCTTTATGTGATCATTGTACTAGTAAATGTATAATGAGTATAATGACTCTTGTGTGTGTACGTTTTACTACTGTAGTAATTGGATATGGTTTAGAAAGAGAGAGGAGAGAGAGGGGGGAGAGAGGGAGAGAGAGAGAGAGAGGGAGGGAGAGAGGGAGAGAGAGAGAGAGAGGGAGGGAGAGAGGGAGAGAGAGAGAGAGAGGGAGGGAGAGAGAGAGAGGGAGGGAGAGAGGGAGGGAGAGAGAGAGAGGGAGGGAGAGAGGGAGAGAGAGAGAGAGAGGGAGGGAGAGAGGGAGAGAGAGAGAGAGAGGGAGGGAGAGAGAGAGGGAGAGAGAGAGAGTGATTGAGTAAGAGAATGATGGAGAATATAAAGTAAATAAGAGAGAAGAGGAAACTGATAGTGAATCTAAACACCACTCATTTGTCCTAATTATGTGTGCAATGTAAATAATGTCATCATGACATATTCGACACACGTACATCAGTAATCTCTTGTAATCTTACTCTGTAATCTTTCAATGTAATAGAAATAATAATTAAAAGTCAGTGAGGTAGGTGGGCTATCCCTGGGATGTGCCCAGGGATAGCACCAGTTAGTGTGACACAATAAGGCGTAGACTAATATCACTGCTAGCCTCATGCTTCATCCAGTCATTAATGAAGTTGTAGTGCTTCATTTGCTTAAATCAAGCGATTAATGTTTATATGTTTGTCTATTTGATTAATGTCCTGTGTTTGTTGCACATCAGTGATTATCATTAGTAAAAGGTCAAAAGGTACAGTACGTGTCACTTAGTGAAAGCTCTTTCACACGTTCCCTATAGATAATCTGCTTATCATCATGAAGTAATGGCTAAAATCATGATCACAGGACCTTTACCATACATGTGCACATGAATTATTATTATTATTATTATTATTATTATTATTATTATTATACCAATGTGAGTATTTTACGATTCTTGGTAACAGAGGTAGAGTCCTATTATATCACATGTTTATTTGATAAACTTATTGAATTTGTCGGTCTGGGGTCTTGTGATTGTCTGGTTGTTTTCCAAATATTTGTCTAGTGTATGTTCATGCATGTATAAGGCTTATCTCGTGTACATTATTAGGGACACAAGCACTGGAATGTGTTCAATGACATATACATGTATGGGTTGTCTATAGTGGTGTGTGTGTGTGTATGTGTGTATGTTAATTCATTGTATCCCTTTAATAATATAATTATCATTTAATAATTTTATTGTACGTAAATCATATGAAGCAATTCCTATCAGTTGTTGTGTTTGATGACTGTTGTTTATTTGTTTATTTGCACTGTAATACTATACCTGTTGTTGGGAAACTTTTAATTTCCTTGTGCAGTTCATACATGTGCTTATGTACCTGAACCCACTGGGATATGTTATAGGGTTGGGGTCATCATGGCTTTATGGTAAGTTTTCAATGCCTCAAGTCATTGAAGAATAATTGTCAGCAAATTTTAGAGATTGGGAGCTTTGTAGTATAATTAAAGGACTTTCCCATAACAAGCCATGTTTTTAACTGTTCCTTATGGATGATGACAGATGACAAATATCCAGTCTCACTCTTTCACTCCCTCACCCTCCCCCCCTCTCTCTCTCTCCTACATTGTCTGTACATTAGTCAGTGACTACTTTCTCCATTTATTGTTTATTTTAAAGAGATTATATCTCCCATCTGTTTGCTAAAGGGCCGCTGGTTTGTATATAATTGCAGCTGTTAATGAAAGACTATAATGTTTGTTTGAGTGGATAACATAACAATGAGTAGGCCACTCAATCTACATAGTGATAGAGTTTCCTGTATTATCTTACCTTATCCTTTCTCTCTCTCTCTCTCTCTCTCTCTCTCTCTCTCATGGATGATTGAGCTCATGATTATTGTTTATGTGTGGCTAATGAGTTGTTTGTTTAACACGGCGACATTTTTTCTAAACATAATTATTTTCCAGTCAGTTGCCTTATTATTTTTAAATTCACAGTGCACGCATAACTTGCAATGTGTGAGGCCTGTAGGCCAGCTGCTCATTTGGGAGGGAAAGTAACCGAATTGTAGCTGCATGGGGGCGTGTTTTATTTTGGAATTTTAATGATATAATTATAGAATTTTTGGGAGCTACATGAATGTAGTAATTATCATCATGTGTAATCTCTATGATAAGGACAACTTGAATTGTATCTTTATAATGAGGAATTTTTTGTAATGTCACAATTGGTACTAACCTATACAAAAGCATCTCTGAAATGAGGACACCTTGTATGAAGGACATTACCAACAGTGTCCTTAAGAAAGCAGTTACACAGCATTGCTGTGTAGTTAGTAAATACATCTCTAGGGCCCAATGTATGAAATACTTATTATTATTTATACAACACTAGTTAATAGGAACAGTGACTTTGCAAAGCTTTGCATTTCATTACCACAGCCCACTACACTGTTGCCATCATATCCTGTTATGCCTATATATATTACATATATATATATATATATATATATATATATATATATATATATATATAGCTTGATACCAATTACCTGTGGAGGATACTCACTCTACCTGTTTGTATGAAAACCATTTTATTGCTGACTTGCTTTTACATGCATGCAGTTTGTGGTATGGTTGTATGATCACATTTGAACTTTTTGAAGGGACTTATTAACCTGAGTATTGTAATTACGTCTGTTCTCAATGTGCTGTGTTGTAATTCTGGATAGATCTGCTATCATTATGGTGCATGTACATGTACTTTTGACGTATATGGATCTACATGTACATGTATGGTATGTGTTTTTCATTTCCTTAAAATTGTGTTGTGTCAAGTCCGACAGTCCGTACGGCACATAACTGCTTGTTAAAATTTTAGTTACTTTATTATTTAATAAAAAATAATGAGTTTGCATGTTTTGCTTATTGTACTAAAATTGCTACTTGATGAGCCAAGTTATCAGCTTCCAATCCAATTAATCAGTTATGATCTTCTCACTCCAATCTTTGTCTGTATCCCTTTAGCCTACACACATACACCATGTTTGTATTTCTCTCTTTCTATGTCTACAGTCACCTTCCTCTCTTATCTTTCATCTTTATTAAGTTAGAATCGTCTTTCATTGTTCAGTCTTTGTATCCCCTACACACACGTTTACACTATACAATGGTCTCTCTTTCTTTGCTGTCCCCCTCTGTCTCCATTCCAATTATTTAATTATAATCGTCTCTTGTTTGGTCTAGATGTACATTGTGTCTGTACATGTGTATGTATGCCTACACATGTACATGTACATGTACATGCACATGTACATGTACATGTGCATGTACATCTACGTACATGTATCTCTCTTTATTTACCGCCTCCTCGTCTGTCTGTTTCTCTCTCTCTCTCTCTCTCTCAGATTTAGTCAGTATTCCAGGCTATTTTAATGTGTCTAGAGACCAGGTAAGTCATTACAATACATACCTGCATCTCTCATTTATTATTATGATCATAATTATTGTTATTATATTATTATTATTATTATAACAAACCTAAGAAAAACCTAATAAACAAACACAATAAGAGAAATGAATGATGAAAACATAAATGAATGATATACTGATAAACACAAAATGATATAACAAAGATAAGTGACATGCTGCAAAACAATTATTATTATTATTATTATTATTATTTCTCAAAATGCGCAACAACACAAAATGTGAGGCTGGTACCAAAACAAATTATCAATTCATAACAAATGAATTAAGATATCTGAAAGCAGTCATGAAGCGTTCTATCATCATCATCATCATCATCATTATTATTATTATTATTATTATCATTATTATTATTATTATTATAATATATTATTATGCATCTCTTACACGTATATTTATTCTGCTTACTTTTCATAATACTTCCACCTTCCTTCTCTCTCTCTCTCTCCCCTGAAGGCTAAACAGCTCATAGCTCCACACTTATCTACTGATGGATATTACATCATAAGACCTACTGATGGAGATGCACTATGCACTATATGTGTTAGGTAAAGAAAAGAAACATGTAACACTACATGTACATGTACATTAATCCTCTTGGCCTACACCTGTACATGTAACACTACATGTACATGTACATTAATCCTCTTGGCCTACACCTGTACATGTACATTTATTACTCTATATGAAGCATGTATTACTTATCCATGTTTTTATTCTTTTTGTTTGGCTTTTCTAATTATCAATCACTATAATCACCTTATCAGTTTTGTCCCACTAAAGATGGAATGGGTAGAGTGAGAAAGAATTCAATCCTTAGATACGAAGGAATCTGCAAAGAGGAAACTTTCATGGAGACAGAGAAAGAAATGGAGCAAGAGAGAGGGGGGAGAGGGAGTTTGTTAGCTTTTTTGGTGATGGAATTTTATTATAACTGCATCACATGTACTTATTAAAGCCTCTATAAAGAGACACCTGGTTTAAATGTGTGCCATATTTAAATGTTATAGGGAAAATCCATGGGATTCCCCCTCATTCCAATCCTCACTATTTTAAGTCATATTCTTATGCATGACACAAAATGACTGTTTTAGCTTTATATGGATGAGAGATGCTATAGAAAAGGATTTATGTGATTATGTGTTTGCTTCAGTGAGCATTTTTAAGTTGTGCACGCTGCATGGTAATACAGTCTATTGTACATGTACATGTGCAATCTCGTCGTGTGTGACTGCCAGTGTGTGTGGTTGATTTATATGGTCAATATTTGTTTTTATGATTCAATTAGTAGAGGCTTTTGTCTCCTTGTTGTCTGCATTTGGCGATCGACCTCTCCTTTTTTGTTCTTTTCTTTCCTTTCATCTTTTGCTTTCTTTATTTTCTCTTTCTTTTCTTTCTGTTTTACCCCCTTCCTCTCCTCTCCTCTCTCTCCCCCCTCTCTCTCTCCCTCCCCAGTAAAAACATGAAGCTTATGAATTACCGTATGTTCAAGGACGCAGTTACAGGACATTATTACATCAGGGACTCAAAGTTTCCTACCATTACTTCACTCATAAAGCATTACCAGAAGTTTCCTATTAATAAAGACGTGAATACTTTCCTCCTTTATCCTGTACAGCAAGAACAAGAGCAAGAAGAATATGTAGCCCTTGTGCCTAGTCAGCAAGGTGAGGGAGAGAGAGGGAGGGAGATAGAGAGAGAGGAAGGGAGAGAAAGGTACATGTAGGAGAGAGTTAAGGAGGGGAAATGAAAAGAGAGGAAGGAAAAGAATGAAGGGAATTTCATTTAGTGAAAAGTGTGAGAAAGGTCAGATAGAATACATATATTAGAAGGAATGTGAAACTACTGCATTGTAATTGATATTGTTAAATATTAATTAGGAATTGGTAAAACATTTCCTTCATACCTGAGTCATGTCTAAAAATAGGTTTATAGAGTAGCTGCTAGCTATCAGTCAAGTCATTATACATATATATGGGGCTAATTGTTAATTATTATTGACCTCAGCTGTGTGATATAGATCATAGCTGCATGAGGTTAATAATTTAACAACCATCCATTAGTGCTAGCTAGTACATGTACATGTACATGTACCGGGGTACTGTTGCTACTTAGTACACTCACACACACACACACACACACACACACACACACACACAGTCACAAATGGTATTACCACCCACACTCACACTTCATTCAGTATGAGATCAGCTCACACTATCAGTCAATGACATCATGTATATATAGTGACATTATAGACTATAATAATATTACTAATGATTAACGATAGTAATAATCCGATTACTACACATACGTACATAAATTAATGTGTGACCTATTCTATTTCAATATACATGTACATACGTACATATGCACATGTATGTTATCAAAAGTACATATTTTTGATGTGAATAGAGTAAAAGTGCTTCTATTGTCATGAGAATATCCCATTTTTGCCACTACAAGCTTTGTGCATTTCCTGCATATTTTCTTGGAGGTCAGTTGCACTTTTAACTTTTTCTGGAGGTTGCATATTTCACAGTCTGTCACTTTCCCCCTCTGCTATTAAGAGAGTTTTGCTAAGCTTACGGATCATGGAGCTGTTTCTGCTTGACAGCTTTGATATTAGATGTACAGCTATCATTATTGCACCTGTATTATCATAGTGTTTTATTGGAATCGAGCTATAATAATTTATCAATTGAGGACAGTATTTTGTAATGTTACAAATTGATACAAAAGCACCTCTAAAATGAGGACACCTTTGTATTAAGGACCCAATGGTGTCCTTAATGCACTATTATTATTCTAATTCTTCATATGAGAAATTATTTTTTCGTTTAGAAGAAAGTACACGGCTAGCGCCTGCTTCTTCCAGAGCCAAGATGCCCCTCCCCCAGCCGGCCAGTAGTCCGAGACATGGCTCAAGGGACATGGAAAGGAGAGGGAACAACGAGAGAAGAGAACCCAACAATACAATGACAGGAGGAGGAGGAGGAGTTCCTAAGAAAATTCCTGACAACAAAACCGTAGACAGTTTAAATAACATAGCTCAGTTACCAGGAGTCCATATTGACCTCTCGAAAAATGATGTAAGTCAGAGTATCTACTATCTATACACTTGCAATGTGTACTTGGTACCACAGAATATGTAACAATACTACTACTCCTTGAGGTTTGGAGTTTTAGGAAAAAGCATGGACTACTACTGTAGATGTACATAGTTAATGTCAGTATTAATTGTCACCTAATACATGTACATGTACACATAGCTGTACATGTGCACGTAGCTTTACATGTGCACGTAGCTTTACATCCAATTAAAACTGACCTAAGGATAGTGGTCTCTACTTGGATCATTGAACATTCTGTCATGCATAGACTATGTGAATGGACTCTGTAATTGATGATATAACTGTATTAGCTCACTGGCACCTGACCTATCCTACACTTTTATTTCTATTTTTTATTTTCGTGGGCGTCTTACATGTACCTATTCAATCATCATGTTCTTTGTTATAAGATCATAGTTCTGTTCTTACTCCACCTCATTCTCTCTCCCTCCCCTCTCTCTCTCCCCCCTCTCTCTCTCTCCCTCTCCTCCCCTCTCTCTCTCTCATTAGGTTCCTACAGTAATGCAGGCATTTTTATCACAAGAAGGAGCATATTTAGTTAGACCAAGTGTCTCCAGTTCAGGACAGTTCACAATATCTCTAACGTCAGTATAATTATACATAATAATTATATACATGTACACGTACATGTGTGTATATATATATATTATACACATGTTAATTAGGCTGTAAAATGAGTTCTAATTTGATGTGCTTTAAAGTTTGTCCAGTACTACAGTACAGGGTATTTTGTCAAAAAAATGACAAGGAGAGAATTCTCCATTTTTATTAAGTTATCTGATGCATATACATGTACTTATGTTGCATAGCAAGTTTGAGTTGATTCTGATCAAAATTGGATTTTTTAACGAATTTTTAAAGTTGTTCAAAAATCGGGTTAAAGTCCCTGTACTATAGTACATGGTCTGGGGCCAAATTTTGTCAAAAATGACAAGGAGAGAATTCTCCATTTTTATATTGTTATCTGATGCATATACATGTACTTGTGTTGTGCAGCAAGTTTGAGTTGATTCCGATAAAAATTTGATTTTTTACGAATTTTTAAAGTTGTTCAAAAATCGGGTTAACATCCCTGTACTATAGTACAGGGTCTGGGGCCAAATTTTGGCAAAAATGACAAGAAGAGAATTCTTCATTTTTATAACTTTATCTGATGCATATACATGTACTTATGTTGTGTAGCAAGTTTGAGTTGATTCCAATAAAAATTTGATTTTTTTTACGAATTTTTTAAGTTGTTCAAAAATCGGGTTAAAGTCCCTGTACTATAGGGTCTGGGGCCAAATTTTGTCAAAAATGAAAAGGAGAGAATTCTCCATTTTTATATTGTTATCTGATACATATACATGTACTTATGTTATGTAGGAAGTTTGAGTTGATTCCTATCAAAATTGGATTTTTTACAAATTTTTAAAGTTGCTGCAAAATTGTGGGCCAAAAAGACCATGGACTATATTGTTATTGTACAGAAAGAATAAGCTTGTTTTTTTTGTTAGCACGGTACCTGTAGCTATTCCCCACACAGTAATGATATCATTTATCACATTTTTAACAATGCCTTGCACTTTGCAGTGCAAGACTGTGATCATGTGTTTCTGTTTATCTTATCAAGTCCAGCATTGTATTTTATGTTTGTACAAGTGTAGAGTGTGACTATACTCTGACATTATCAAAAACAAGTCCTACTAGAAGATGTACACACATTGCATAATACACCTAATGTCCTCAGGCTAGCTTACTTCTTACTGTGACATTAGTTCCATAAATAAAGTCTAGACTGTGGATTGCTTAAAAGGAGAGCCATTGTGTCTTGTGTACTAAATTAAGGAGAACTAAAGTTGTAAGATGACAATAGCACAGAATGATGTCATGTTATGCTTCAGCGACCAAGCAACGCGTGATCATACTCAACATAGTCTTGATCTGAATAATGAAAAATTAGAACAGAATTAAAAAAAAATAATAATTAAGAATTTAATTGTAATGCATGAGATTAGTACAGAATCAAATAAAAAAGGAAGTTTTGATGCATCAGCAAACAAACCTAATTAAGACTCTGGCCCTGACATTGTGGTTTGTTGGCTCATTTTCTCAGAATCACTATGTCATCACTAGAGGAATTTGACTAGTATTTTTTGTGCATCGAATGTTATATGAAATGATTGGAATCACTGTAAAATTATGACATCATGTACATGTAGATATTGTTTAAATGGTGAACTTGAAGGATGTGGTAGTCATCATTACTCTATATACCATTTATGGTCAATGGCTTTTTTTTCTTTCTCTCCCTTATTTTATTGTAAGTTTTCTGTTTTTACATGTCTCGCATTCCATTCCAGTAATATTTAAATTTGCAGTTAAACCTGCTTTTGTGGACATTCTAAAATAAGGAGATCTCTATATCAAGACAGGTAGTATCAGTCCCAATACAATATAAACGTGTATTAATGAACCTCTGAAATATTATTAGATCCTTGGGTGTGACCGGAATACAGTAGTAATGATACTAATGATATCATGTACTGGTGGAAGCCTTTATTCTCCATTAGTTAGTCAGTCAGCCAGTCTGTCTTTTCTCTTTTGTTTGTACACGTACATATACGTTGCCATATTGTAGTAGTGCATGTAGGTGGATGGATAATGAATTGGCCTGTTTTGAAAAAATGTTATCAATACTCTAACCACAGGATCCTATGACTCTAATCATCACATGACTGGTGCAAGATTTCTGCAGAAATGCTGTAGATTTTTGTAAAACATGAAGTGGGCAAAGTTCCACTAGTAAAACACAGGTCGTTTTTGATTTTACTGGATTTAACTAGCGAAGCATTTATTTTTATTTATAAACAAGGCATTTGACGATTAAAGGTAGGCATCCACTATGGAACTTTGTTGCCAGTACCTTTGATGTGGTTGTGCAACATGTTGCATGAAGTTGAGACTCTCTCTACTTCATGCAACATGTTGCCCAACCACATCAAAGGTTTAGCCACAAGTTGCAAGCAACAATGCTGCATAGTGGATGCCCACCACCTTAAGGTAGCTATAGCTTCAGTCCGTATGCAATGGAAGGCAAGGTCTTATTTTTTATTAATACCATTATTACCATTCTCATTATCTATTATAAAAATGGATAGAGGAATGACTTAAAGACTTCAATCATTGTTATCATTATGCTTCTGGCACTGCTGTTATTATAAACCAGTTATTACTATTATATTTCATTAGGCTGTGTATATTTTCTTTAGAGTCAGCATTGTTTGTGAATGCTTCATGCCAGCTAGCTTTATCACTATGAGATCACATTCCAACACTCGGTGGTGTGACTGCTTGGCTAGTCTGAGCCTGACTCAATTATCCATTCATTTTACTATATATGTACATCAACTTTCATTTGTTCACATGTGATTTAGACTTGGTGTCTAATTTTGCATTCCTCCTGGAGGCTAAATAGTATTGCCTACGCAAATTTCCTTACTACTACTACTAATAATAATAATAATAGTAATAATAATAATAATAATAATAATAATAATAATAATAATAATAATAATAATAATAATAATAAATAATACATGTATATAATATTATTATTATTATAGTATGTTATGACTTGTCTAATAAGTATTTATATAGTCTTGGACTTTGACACTGTGTGTATTTTATTGGCATCTATGTGTAGAGGATGGAATCCTTATGGCTGTAATCAATTTCCTTTTTTGTCTCTCTCACACACGCATTCACACAATCGATCTCGTCCATCTCTCTCTTTGCAGGTGTCAGAATTCGATATTGAATTTCAAAATCAACACTGATCCGGATGGCAAAGTGTTCATTACTCCCAAAAAGAAATTCTCGAGCATCAGAGAGTTACTTGAAGGCCACAAGGTTGCACCGCTCCGGAGTAAGGCTCGACCCGGAGCTAAAGTCTACCTTCTTGTTCCTATCACAGTTGAAGCTGTACAGGAGCTCCTCCTTCCCGCCGGGTGGCAGCAGTTCTTTGACGATAACTACAAAAGACATTATTTTTATAACATGCAGACCGGTCAGTCATCGTGGGAGCGACCAAGAGCTGCAACAGCCCCTGCTCCTTCTTTACCGTCTAAAGCAATGACCATGGGGCCTAGAATATCAAACAGGCCGTTGCCATCACTTCCACAGGAAGAGAACGCCGCAACTCAGAGAAAGAGTTTGGATGTAGGCAGGCCCAATGTCACTAAAATGGCCGGTGAAAGTCCTGGGCTGCCTGGGCGTCGTATTTCTGATGGATCACATAATCCTCCGCCACTACCTTCAAAAGGACCAGCTCCTTCTGTAGGCCGAAGGGACCCACAGCCAGCCCTACCATCAAAAGGACATGACTTGCCTCCACTACCTTCAAAAAATGAACCTCCTTTACCATCAAAGAATGAACACTCTCCCCCTCTCCCTCCCCTCCCTACGAAACACAATGAAGTCCCTCCTTTACCATCAAAGACTGATGCTCCTCCTTTACCCTCTAAGACTCCTCCCCTCCCTGTCAAAGAGCCCTCTCCGGCTCCGTCCTTTCCTCCTCTTCCTTCGAAAAGTGACCCGGCCCCTCCCCAACTTCCTTCAAAGGATCCTAAAACCGGACCCCCTCCTCCTCCTCCTCTTCCAAGCAAAGATCCCCTTCCCTCTCTCCCTCCTAAAGAAGACGATTTCATGCAGAGAAAGAAAAGACCTGTTGAATACATGGACACTGTTATCACTAAGACTCCTCCTTCTCCTACTTTACCACAGAAAAGTGGTGGAAGTCCTCCCCTTCCCCCTCCCCCGCCCCCAATTGGTCAGTTTAGTATAATAATAATATTTTAATTATTTATTTTTTGATATTTAGGTGCCCCTGTTCCCCCTCCCCCTCCTCCACTTGCTCCTCCCTCTCCTGCCGACTCACCTTCACAGCGTCGTAACACCACCTCCGGAGCTCCACCCACAAAGAAAGAAATCCCTCCACCCTCTCCGTCTCCCTCCGAAGGTCGTCCTTTTACTATCAATGACCTCGTCCGTGCTAAGTCCTTACTTAAGAAGAAGGAGGAAGATGATGAGCCACAGCAGCCAAAAGGAGGAGGCGGTGGTCTTCACGATGTATTCTCTAATGCTCTTAATCAGCGAATGACGAGCATTAGGAGTGCAATGACCAATTCTGATGACGAAGACACTGATATAGAGGAGGTTGATGATGAAGATTGGGACGACTGATTGATTCATACTAATATAAGTGGATTCATACTAATATAATTGATCGTTTGATGATCATGGAAATTTGAGGCAATATTATTTTTGTATTTAATTTTTATAATTTATTATTATTATTATTCATTATTATTGTTGTTGTTGTTGTTTGTTTTTGTGATTAGTGGTCACTCGTATTTTGTTTGTTTTCTTTTTAAGTTAGTGCATTGTCTTTATGTTCACTCTTTCTCTCTCTCTCTCTCATATCTTATCAACAGCATTTAAATTTTTAGTTATAATTTTACAAGTTTTTAATTATTATTATTAATCATTTTTCAGATTATTATAGTGCTCTTATTTCTTGTATACAGCTGCTATTTTTCCATTAATTTTTTTTATAAAATTAAAAATAATTTTATACATCATCATGGAGAACTGTATCGTTTTAAAGAATTTAATTTTGATTGGAGTCAGCTCAAAAAAATTTCCTATGCAACACAAAAAGATGTACTGTATAGACATTTAAGAATAAAATAATAATTGATAGTGCGTACCCGTTTTATTTTGGACAAATTATTGATAGAGTGAAAGATAAGCGAGTGTTTTATTCACACTATGTAAACATAAACTGATGATTGATTTGATAGAGATTGTGAAATAATAATCCTTAACCTTTGACATTTAAAAAAAACTTCTTTGTAAGCCCACTTTCATTACCTCCATTATACGCTTTCTTATATAGCAACTCAATGTATTATTAATGTGATTTAAAGAATAATACTTTTATTCAAATATAGCAGTGATTTTATTTCGTCACAAAATTTTTAAAATAATTATAATAACAAGCAATTATTATACAAGTACATGTAAACATTTAATAATAAATTTTTATAATTATTGACGATACAGTGATTAAACATGTAGCCGTTATTAAAACAAAAAAAGAATAAGAGATAATAATAATAATAATAATAATAATAATAATAATAATAATAATATTTTCGTTTATTTTAAATTACCACACAGCAAGATGTGTTGACGTCCTCTTCATTGCTTGACCTGTAAGAGTTTTGAGTAACGAGGGGTGTGGTCTCGTTAGGTACATCAATAGACGGTCTTCGTCTGTGCTGCTCATATGAAGTAGAATCTCTGGCTCTACTTAACCTCTCAAAAACTGGAGAGAGAAAGGAAAGAGAAGGTAAAAACATTAAAGGGAAGAGATTTCGTCAAAATTGAAGAGGAGAGAATCCTCCATTTTTATATTTTCCCCTCATACATATACATGTTCTCATGTTGTGTAGCAAGTTTGAGCTGATTCCAATTGAAATTGAATTTTTAATGAAATTTTAAAGTTACTCAAAAAATTTTGTCAAAAGTGTCAAGTAGAGAATTCTCTATTTTAATAATACTTTCTGATACATATACATGTACTTATGCTGTGCAGAAAGCTTGGGCTGATTCCAATCAAAATTGAATATTTAAAGTTACTCTGAATACCATGTACTGTATTGTAGTGCTTGTCAGCTCATGAAGCTCATGCTGTTTAGCTCACTTAGCATGCTTCATGGGAAACCCTAATATAATATTGCTACTAAGGTGCTTACTGCTGTCATCTGGCAACGGCTCCTTTTCTGTTGGTCTGATAGACTCTTCATTAAGCTCAAGCTTTGGCTGAGACTCAAAACCAGACGGCAAATTGTATACGCGTGACTCAGGGGGAGGTAGAGGAGGAGGAGAGGGTGAGACTTCATTTGAACTTAGAGGAACAATCTAAATAAATAAATAAATAATCACACATTTACTGGACAATACACGATTATTAGTGTTGTACTTAACTCCATTGATGCTTGATATTGGCTATACTTAAATCATAAGGCTGATGTACATGTACAACTCTCTCTCTCTCTCTCTCTTTATAATGAAACTTGGCTGAAATACTAAATTACAAATCTATACTCATTCTCGTAAGTCAAAATTTGGCAATAATAATAATAATCAATAAACAAATGATTTATAATAAGACCTGTGAAGCAAAAGGGACCTATCTGCTTTGTATAATAACAGTCGTAATAATTAATTTATGCTACTCTTGTTAATTTTACAATGAAAATGCAGTAAGTTCCTTTGCTTCATGAGGTTGTGTCTTACGTCAAGATGTTCATTGGAGCCGTCAATGCTGCTAGCAGTGTGGAAACTATTGGTATCAACTGGACTAGGACCTCTTCCATCTAACAGAGCATAAAAAAACTCAATCAATTACAATCAGCAAGATTGACGCATCTCATGTACAAAAACTAAAAGACTAATAATGATGACTAGATCAACTAACTGTCAGACACAATCACTTTTAAAATGCAATCATATATTATTGTTGATGCATCTTTCAAACTATTTTCCAGCTAATGAGAGAGAGACAAACCTTCATAGTCTGAATGTGCAGATTCAAAGCCCGGTGTTACAGGCGCTCCTCTCATAGAAACAAACCCAGAACCTATAGAATCAGGTGGAGTAACAGCCAAAAGCTCGTCGACCACCAAAGCATTCCTACCTGTAAAAGAAAAGCTGCTATAATGAAGATAATAATCTTTTTGTGAAGCTGACCTTCTTCCTCCATATTGCTATGGGCGGGGCATAAATTTATGAATATTTGATTAGATTAATTAAGGATTCTTTTTGCGCATGCGCATTAGTCATTCCCGCTGTATAGCGTTTTGTTTAGACCTGTCATTTCCAGATACAAAATGATGCTTGGTCTTTTTTTGTTATCTTTCCTGGTAGTGAGCTCAACTATAGCTCGAACACCTAGACTAAGGGAAGACTATGATTACTATAGTACGTACGATGATTCTCAAGCTCAAACAGAAGGTGGAAGCAACTCTGCTGAAAGTACTACCGCTGACACCTTAGAGCAAGTAGGAGCAGGAGATTACAGCAACAATGAAGATTATGCTAATGATGACTACTCGTACTACGACTCTGAACCAAAAGAAGGTGGAAGCAACCCTACTGGTCCCTCAGAGGAAGAAGTTATGCAGAAAGAAGAAGACAGCAAGAAAGACAATTATGATGATTATGATCAGTACTGGCAAGATGATGAAAGTGCAAAAATTGGGGATCAGCCTGATAGTGGGGATAAAAAGGATGCTCAAGCAGAAACCACTCAGTCAAGCAAGGAACAAGAAAGCAGCGATTATTATGAATACAACCTGCCTGAGAAGGATGAAGATGCTAGTCTTGCTACAGAGCCCTCGCAGTTAGAGAAAAACTCTAATGAAGATGAGGAAGATTACAATGAGGATTATGATTACAGTACTAATGAAGAAGAAGAGAGTACAGCTCCAAGCAAAGAGGAAGCAAGCCCTAATTATGATAATTATGATGATAACTATGATTATGTGATGAAAGAGGACTCAGAAGAGATGGAACGACCAACACAAAAGGAAAAAGATGAAAATGATATGACAGAACAAGACTCCGATTATAATCATAAAGATTATGAATGGCATGACTCTCAAAACAGCAAAGACTATGATGAAGAAGATTACGTGCAGAGAAGAGCCACAAGAGGTATTAAAAGAGTACCACGGCGTCAAAGACCTCATCGCAGACCTCACCAGAGGCAACATAAACTAGGCAAGCAACCGCCTCCTGAAGATATTACTCCTACTCCTACGACTCACTCACTACATCCTGGTAATCCAGCTAGCTCTCATCCACAAGCCACTTCTTCATCTCCTCCTACAGTCCCCACTCCTTCTCCGGAGTCAAAAGGTGTAGAGCCCTCTTCGCGTGAAATTCTGTTGCAACATGCCATTGATTCGTACACAGTAGCTACGATGCATCAATTAGATGCTTCTAGAATACTTGAGTTGTACAAGCAAGGTGACGCTACGACTATGAAGTTTGCAAAGACTTTATTCAAAACTTTAGTTGCAATGAGGCTAGCACGTGTCGTTAATTACAGAGGATTCGACAAACCCACTGAAGTAGTTAGCTTGCTGAAGAAACATGGATCCAAGAAGCATACAGACTTCTTCATAGTGAGGTTCTTATGCAAATACTACAAGGGACTTAGTGGTGCTGTAAAATACTACCTTCGAATGAAAACACGTTTTTCAACATTAGAGCTACCAAGACATGGTGAGGGTAAAATTGCTCATCAAAATCAAGATAACATTCATCACCATTATCACCATCATTTTCATCACGATGGCAGCTTGAAGCACAAAGTTAACAAAAGAGACAAAATGGCTAAAGGAGGACGCAAACCTAAGAATTACTTTAAACGGAAATTAGAAGAATTTAGAAAGAAGAGAGCAATAGTAGCTGCAGCAGCAGAAGCTGCTCAGCGTGAAACTGAGAATACTGCTAATCAACATAGAGCCACACCTGATTTAGACACTAAAAGGATCTTTCCAGAAAGAAACTTTCGTAGTAAACGTTCTCAGCGTCAACGACCACACAGACCACTAGGGCCAATACTCCCTGCAGTTTATGAAGCAGCTCAGAGGCAAAAGGCAAAAGGTGCATAATATTATTATAAGTATTGTGTTGCTATTTTTATTATTATTTTTGCTATTATTATAGAGGCTGGTAGTACATGCAGGACTAATCATGGTAGAATAATGTCCAATGGAGAGATACACAAGGATGACTGCAATATTTGCAAGTGCAGGAATGGAGAGCTTCACTGTACTCAATTGAAATGCAGGGATGAGCCTATAATACAAAGTATTTTTTAGAAATAATAATTTTAAATTGTTTTTATCATTTTTTTCCTAGTTTCTGGAGACATGACTAGTACCTCAGCTGCAAGGAAGAACAAATGTCAAAAGTAATAACAGAAATTATTAATAAAACATTTTCCTTTTTATAATGGGTAATAGGTGCAATGTCATGCCAAAAGAAGAAGAAGTCTGTGGTGCTAATGGAAAGACCTACAACTCACTCTGCCATGCACTCAATTGTGGCGGCCTTAATATAATGGACGTTAGACCAGGAGGCTGTGAAATTGATGAGGTAAGTGATTGCAATAATAATTAATATTTATTATTATTATTATTATTATTAATTATTAATTAATTATTATTATTACTCCACTACTGACATACATGAACTTCATAGGATCCTTGCACACACAGTGAATGTGAGGAGAATGAGATATGCGTACCTAGATTTAGAGGGCCATGCATAGGACTGTATGGCTACGGAAAGATAAAAGGTTCTTGCTCTTTATACAAATGTGGTAAGAAACTACTGCACTTTGAACAGCTTACATGCATGTACATCTAGTTTGTAATTTATATTGTTCACACCTTGTGGTGTTAATTAGGGGCTATATGCATTATTGCTTAAAAAATTGTTAATAAGAATCAAATTTTGCAGTTCCTAGGCATCAATGTCACAGAGCTAGAAGAAGAAAAGTCTGTGGAAGCAATGGGAGGACTTACCACTCACTTTGCTCTCTCTACAGCTCTGGAGCAACTTTAGCATACCATGGGCCTTGCCAGCCAGAGAAGTGCTCTAGTCCAGTCTGTGGCAGTAATGGAGTCACGTACAAGTCGTCTTGTCATGCACGTACACGCTCTGTTCGTATTGATTATGCTGGAGAGTGCCTAGCAGACAAGTAAGCTCATTGCACAGTACTAGCTACATATTAAATACACTATGTTCACACTATGCAACTGCAGTGTGCCAGATTTGGATGAACTATATCATTTTTTGGTATAATTGTTAGTGTATCAAAAAATTGTTATTCCAGCACATTAAAATACTGCTAGTAGCTCAGTTTATATGAGGGCTCTTATGCTGAGACTGCTTTATTATCATTAAAAATAGGTTATCAAAAGAGAAAACTTGTGAAGCTGTTAGAAACGAGAAGATGAGATGCGGGAAAATGAATCCAAAATGCAGAAACTGGGTCATCCCCCATGGCTCTTGCTGCCCCATTTGTGGTGAGTAGTTCAGAGGAGGCTGTGCCTGTGGATTTATTGAATTTGTAGGGTCGTCTTTTACGATGCAACCAGACACGAAGGAGTTCTCTAAGTTACAAGAATCAAAGAATCACCTTCTCACTGTTAAAAAGAAAGTCTCCAAACTGATGCCAGAAATAAAAGGAAAGTGTGATCTCAGTGCATCGCTCGGTGATAAAGATGATATAACATTTGTACTTCAGGCATTGAGCGATAAAGATGAAGGAGAGTGTCTCGCTGCAGGAAAACGTGCCGTCGATATAATTAATAATCAGTCAGAGCAGCACGGCGATGTTATTGAGCTCTTAGCGCCAGCAGCTTTGAACCAAGACATTCTTCATTGATAGTTTAATTATATGCCACTATACAGTGCACAATCATTATAATTATTATAATTATTAGTGGCATCTTTCAATAAGAAATTGTTATTAATGGTTATCAATGTTGAAGACATAACATGCAAGATTATTGGTAGCAGCTTTGAATATTAAAGGAAAAAATTAATATTAATTTTAAAACAGCAGCAGAAAGAAAACATAAAAGAACAGCAACAATAATAATAACTGACAACACACGCACACACATACACACATGAACAAATTGAACAAAATAAATTAATTTATGATGATCAAAGAGATAGGAGAAAAACATGATTAAGAAAGAGAAAAAAATAATTATTATTATTATGATTCAAAAAAAATAATAGTCTCAGAAAAATTAAATCTATTCTTAAGTTCAATAGTATATATAATATTATTTATTTCTATAGAATAAAGTTTAAGTTATCATCAATAGAAATATCTATTTTAAAGCCTAATTTCTAATGTAAGTGACCTAATGAAGCGAGAGAAAGAAAAACGATAAAACTATAATAATGATGAAAAGTAATTCTTTAAATACCTTGAGATGAGGAGGAGAAATTGGAATAATGATCAACAAAGTTAGTTGTCATGTTTCTAGCAATAGTTGGTGAGGGTAGGTCAGCTTGTATTGTCAATTCATGAGGACTTGATGAACTTCTACAGAAATAAAGAATCATCAAACATTTCTACAGTACTGCATGCAAATAATTTCTTTAATATAAAAATGAGTTTTGATATTTTTTGAAATAATTTTTTGTACACAATTATACATTACTAATACAGCATAAAAATATCACAAAAAATAGAAAAAATACTCTCTCAAATTAAACAATTTTTACATCCATCATTAATGGAATACAATAATTATATGTACCTTGAATTAATGTTGTCATAGTGATTAGTGGACCCCTCCTCCTCCTCCTCCTCATCTTCATCATCATCATCGTCATCTTCGTCAATATAAATATCTTCTCCCTCCATTTTAATTCCGTTGTGGAGGGTATGGTCTGAGATGTCGTCATCAGCAGGGAGCGTCTGCAGAGTGGGTATCATCGTAGCTGTTGAGTTGTCTCCATTTTGCATTGGATCTCTGATCTTCTCTTCCTCTCCTATGGCTAATAATAAAAAAGGTGTGGCTTGTTAATTAATTATTAATCATTATTATTATTATTATTATTATTATTAGTATTTAACTTTTAAGATGCAAAAATTTAAAAAGTTTTTGAAAAATAATTTTTGCAAATTTCTGAAAAATACCCAAGGCTATAGCCCATGATTTTTCCAAAAAATGGCTCTGAAATCACCCCAAATTTTTATTATATTTTCTGATACATATTGATGTCCTTATGCTATGTAGAAAGTTTAAGTCAATTCCGATAAAAATTTTTCGAGTTATGGCTATTTTAAAAAATTGGCCAATTTTTGAAAAATACCCAAGGCTATAACCCATGATTTTTTTCAAAAAATGGCTCTGAAATCACTCCAAATTTTTATTACATTTTTTGATGGATATTGATGTCCTTATGCTATGAAGAAAGTTTGAGTCGATTCCGATAAAAATTTTTCGAGTTTTGGCCATTTTTTAAAATTGGCCAATTTTTGGAAAATACCCAAGGCTATAATAGCCCATGGTTTTTTTTCAAAAAATGGCTCCGAAATCACCCCAAATTTTTATTACATTTTCTGATACATATTGATATCCTTATGCTATGAAGAAAGTTTGAGTCAATTCTGATAAGAAATTTTTGAGTTATGACCATTTTAAAAAATGGGCCAATTTTTGAAAAATACCCAAGGCTATAGCCCATGGTTTTTTCGGAAAAATGGCTCCAAAATCACCCCAAATTTTTATTACATTTTCTGATGGATATTGATGTCCTTATGCTATGTAAAAAGTTTGAGTCGATTCCGATAAAATTTTTTCGAGTTATGGCCATTTTAAAAAATGATCCAATTTTTGAAAAATACCCAAGGCTATAGCCCATGGTTTTTTCAAAAAATTGCTCTGAAACCACCCCAAATTTTTATTACATTTTCTGATACATATTGATGTCCTTATGCTATGTAGAAAGTTTGAGTCGATTCCGATAAAAATTTTTCGAGTTATGGCCATTAAAAAAATGGGCCAATTTTTTAAAAATACCCAAGGCTATAGCCCATGGTTTTTTCAAAAAAATGGCTCCAAAATCACCCCAAATTTTTATTACATTTTCTGATGGATATTGATGTCCTTATGCTATGTAGAAAGTTTGAGTCAATTCCGATAAAAATTTTTTGAGTTATGGCCATTTTTTAAAATTGGCCAATTTTTGAAAAATACCCAAGGCTATAGCCCATGGTTTTTTCAAAAAATCGCTCCAAAATCACCCTAATTTTTTGTTACATTAAAAAAAATACATTAATGTACTTATGCTGTGTAGAAAGCTTGAGCTGATTCAGACAAATATTTTTCAGGTTATGACCATTGTAAAACAAGCCAATTTTATGAAAAAAGAAAGCAAAAGGTAGTACAGCACAAGGCTTGGCCCAATTTTTGAGAAACTTAAAAAATTCATAAAAAAATCTAATTTGATCATAATCAGCTCAAAATTACTGTGCAACTAAAAAATGCAAATGCATCAAAGAAAATAAAATTAGAAAATTCTCTCCCGATCATTCTTGACATAATCAAGACTGAGATCAGTTCATTAAAAGAAATCAAAATTCCCTTACCCATTTCCATATCTGGGGTTTCTGCAGACTCAGAAGCTTCCCCTTCAGCTGCTACCCTAAAATTAAAAAGGGAAAAGGTTAGTAACAATCCTCTCTCTCCTCTTCTTCTCTCCCTCACAATTTCATGTGTCTCTTTTTCTTGTAAAGACTATCATCAACCGTCCAAACTGCCCCGCGGCTTTTGTTCAACTCAACGCGAACAAAACACTTGTGAAGCGAAAGATTGTGACGAATAGCATTCTACAAAAAAAAACCAATAATTAAAAGATAATTTCCTTCTTTTCTTGTTCAATTTATAACCTATATCAACTAGTCGAATCTCCCTCACCTTCCATGTTGGGTTATTCTCTTTAAAGTATATAAAGTTCTTCATGAACCAGGCATATATCTCACAGAGGGTCAAACACTGATCTGGTGACTCTAGTATGGCCTGTCTAATGAGACTAGCATAGGTGAATGGAGGCCTCTGGTCTATCTTAGAGTAGCGAGGTATAGCTTTACGGAGTGCTTCTTGGGTCTCTGGATATAAAAAAATAAGAATGTAATTAATCTTGAATCATTTCTCTTCTCCTTCACTTTTTCTATTTTTTATATTTTAATCTTTTCTTCCTCTCTTTACTTTTCTTTCTAAATTTCACACTCTCCTTCTTCCTTCTCCCTTCTGCTTTCTCCTTTTTCTCTCTCCCTCTCTCTCTCCTTCCCTCCCTCCTCCTTACCATCAAAAGCAACAGGTGATGGTCTCTCACTAGCAGGTCTGCTCTGCCTGTGTCTAATAGGTCCCACTTCACTCAACTGCATCCCTCCATTACCGAGGGGTAGTTTCAAACTACTGGCAGATACGCCAGTCCCTAACAGTGGCTGCAATAAATTCCCGTCTATCTTAGACTGAGTGACAAGACTGTTGAACCCTCCAGTCTGAGTCAGTCCAATGCTACGTGAGCTCTGAGCAGCTGCTACTGCTGGAGTGTAGAGTGAGGGACCACCAGTGGCTGAGGTGGGGTCAAACTTTAGAGTGGTTGGAGTTGCCTGTTTAAAAATATTATAAGTAATGCTAATGCGTACATGAAATTTGACAGCAAAGTCTGCATGCACTCATTTTAGCAAAGGATCTAATTAAAGTGATGCATAAATTTTAAGTTAAACCACACATTGTAGTACAGGGACTTTGGCCCAATTTTGGAGCAACTTTTAAAATCCATAAAAAATCTAACTGTGATCAGAATCAGCTCAAACTTTCTACACAAGATTAGTATATGTATAAGATGCTAACTAAAACTTACCTGTGGAGTAGTTGGTTGAGTCAGTGGTAAAGGTGATTGCTGTACTAGTGGTATAAGGGTTGGCTGTGAGTTGACTATATACACTGGCTGTCCATTGGTATCAGTATAGACAGCCTGTAACACCGTACTGCCACTGGGAGCAGGACCTAGTGGAGTAGCTGGCTGGGACTTGAACCCTAAATTATAATATAATAATTAAATTAAATATTTAAACTACAATACACAGTATAGCAGGGAAGTAAAAGGGATTCAACTTTCACGGATTCGCCTGAAAATTTTTTTCGTGGATTTAATTTTTGTGAATGAAAGCGTTAGACCATCTTGTACCCCACTAACCCAATTTTTGCAAGTATAATCTTGCAAATTTTAAGCGAATTTAGGTCCCTTGAAAGTTTTCGGCTATATAGTAAACAACATTACAAATCATTTTACCAGTGTTAGTGACTGCAGGGAAGGAAGCAGTGGAGGAAGTTGAGGAAGGGGTGGGGGGAGTGGCTATCGCAACTGAGGTGATGAGGTCAGATTTAAGGTCATCAGTGAGACTGCTTATCGGCAAATTCAAATGAGTTTTCATAGCAACCAATTTAGCTTTCTCATGTTGCAGCTAAGAGAGGGAGAGAGAGGGGGGAGAGAGAGAGGGGGGAGAGAGAGAGGGGGGAGAGAGAGAGAGAGAGAGAGAGAGAGAGAGAGAGAGAGAGAGAGAGAGAGGGGGGGG